CTACTTTTCCTGCTGTGAATGGGATTTAATACATTCCAGACTGTCATTGTAAAAATCATGAGCATTGTGGGGGAAATACATCTGGTGTCCATTTACAGATGATAGCCTGTTCTTGCTTACGCCACTCACATTGGAAGTGGTAAGAAAAACTATGGAGAAAGAAAACCAAAAATTGCTCATCATAATTTTCTTTTTGTTCATTGTTCCTTGATTTGCCATTTTCATACACTTAGAAACAGAAATGTTCATGATCTTTGATATACATCTTGGGATCGTTTCATGAATTGTTCTGATTTGAATTGCCGTTTTCTGTCAGATTTGAGTGTTTAGATGTAATGCTCTCTTCACGATGAGCTGCCGCCCTCCCACACACACTCTGACAGTGTAAACTTGGCACACATCTGTGTCTCACCGGCTCTTGGAATGTAAGTATCAGCATTCTGGGAAAAGCTAAATTCTCAGTGAAAAGAACACAAAATGCGAGCTAAATGTAAGCACGATTCATTTTTATTTGAGTCTTAAAGAGCACCACTGCAAAAGCATTTACTTTAAATGAATATTGTTTTATTTATTTATTTATTTATTTATTTATTTATTTTAAACATTCTTTATTTTTCTTCATTTGTACTTCAGCTCTAGGATTCTACTACTCTAACTCACTCTTGAAATTGGCATTGTGGCACTATGAACTTGTGTTACATTTTGTAATGTTCCTCATTTGTAGGCAGCTTTGTATATAGGAGCATCCGCTCAATCATAAGAAGGAAAGACTTACTAAAAAAACTTTGAACAGTGTTGTGGATAAACATTAATATACAAGTTTCCATGTTCAGTGATAAGAGATTGTGATAAGGCAGCACTGGGAATCCTATGTGAAGGAAATGTCTTTGAGGTTTTACTTCATTTTTAACCACCCAAACATTTGGTGTAATACAGTTCAGCAACAAAGACACACCAGTGTCGGACCGTTCGACGCACATACAATTGACTGGATTCTTCCTCTCATAAATGCAAGAGCCTCAGAGCCAGTGAATGTGGCCTTTATTTGACAAACCCCAACCCATTGAAGGGGTTCCTGTAAAATATGAGGTAACGTCATTTGACCACTGAACTCAAGGAGCCTTGGATGAATGGCTTGCAGTGGCCTTAGAGGAGTCAATGCACATATCAGAGCGGAAGATCATCACCCCCTACTTCCCTATAAATAAAAATTCCACAACCCCTTTCAATTATCCATCCACACTTCCTTTCTGAATCTATTTTTTAGATATTCAATCCAGAGAAAAACACCTTCATATGTCTGGCATTATTTGAAAAGTCAAATAGTAAAACAAGCAATGGGCGTTTAGCCCTGTTATGGACCCATCACTATGGTAACTAAGCTTCATATTGGCCCAAATAAAGACTGACGCAAGCAAGGGTTTAGAAGATGTTTATCTTTAGAGTCTGAATACTCGTCTGGCGTGGATTAAACATAGTTTGTTTACAAGAGTTTTTTTTTTTTTTTCATTTTGCAATGTTTATTTTAACGCTAATAGAATGGCACGATATATCTCAGGACTGGTGTCGTCTTTTCTCAATACATCCCTGCTAATCTGACTATAGATTGACAGTTTAGTTGGAGATGGATTACCCATATAGTTATTTTAGATAAGTGACTTACTGCCAACCTTTGCCTTATTTTGGCTCCAAGCTGAAAAAGTTTTGCGCTCAACAACAATTGTGGAGAAAAACATCTTTTTAAAATGCTTTTTTTTTTTTTGCTTTGCAAAGATTTTAAATGTGTGACTCTTTTTCACATATTTGATGAGACGGCAGAAAAAAGGGAAATGAAAAGGACAGAAGGAGGGACTGTCTGTCATTGCAAGGGCAATGAGACAACCACTCATATCCTTTTCACCTTTCTGTGTCTTTCCTATGTCACAGTTCATCTGTTGGCAACATTGTTGTATTAATGTGCAATATGACCATTTTTATGTTTGAACTATATGATACATAATGTAGTACACCACAGGTTTATTAAATATTTCCTCTCGATGTTCACATTTAGCCATAATGTATTTTATTAGAGTCTATAGAAAACAACTTAATTCCGCTTCTGACTTACACTGGAACACAACAAGCATTACTTTTCGGTGTTGTACATGTTGTTCATTCATACACTGACGTCAGGGAACAAAAAACATTGCCTTCAGCAGAAGCAGTGCTCTCCTTAGGGCCACATCTAGTTTCCTGGCCTGAGGTTCTTCATGAGAGGGAGTAAAAAAAATAACAAGAAACTAAAATACTGTTAAAGATGCTCTAAGCGATGTCACACATTTTTAGGCCCAAACATTTTTTTGTCGCATATAGAAAACATCTCCTCACTATCCGCTAGCTGCCGTAACCTAAACACACTATAAAAAAAAACACGGTCTCTAGGCAGACAACCCAGGCTCCACAAATGGCAGCAAAAACAAAGTGCGGGAACCTGCTCCACGAAACGTAACAAACTGTTCCAGCAAATAACTGACAAGAAGGCCCTGGGGGTGGGGTTTGGGGGGCTCAGTGGAGATGAGGAGGAGGGATCTACAGTAGCCTCCGTTTTGTTTGAAAATACTTTAAACGTCAACAAGAAGTCACGTCACCTGACATCGCTTGGAGCACCTTGGGCGGCAGTGGCTCAGTGGTTCATGTGGGTTGTCTACGAACCGAAAGGTTGGTGGTTCAATCCTCGGTTCCACCTGACCAAGTGTCGAGGTGTCCATGAGCAAGACACCTAACCCCAGCAGCTCCCGACGAGCTGGCTGGCGCCTTGCATGGCTGACACCGCCGTCGGTGTGTGAATGAGTGTATAAATGGGTGAATGTGAGGCAAATGTAAAGCGCTTTGGTGGCCATTAGGTCTATGAAGGCGCTATATAAATGCAGTCCATTTACCATTTTTACCATTTACCATTTACCTTTAAATAATAATAATAATAATAATTATGATAATGTATAGAACATACAACTCTTCATATAGATTAGATTAATCTGCATGTCTCACAGTGAATGAATAACAATGTTTTCAACAGGATCCTATTTTAAAACAAGGGCAATATCATCTCAAACAATGCAAACCCTGCTCTAAAAATACTTTCCATTTAACTGTCAATCAACTGGAGCACTGAGAAGACAACTCCATTTGCTTTCCTTCTTTCTCCACAATCACTCATTTTCTGTTGCGCCCTCCTCTGTTAAAGACACATTGACACATTGATCATTTTTCTCTAAAGGTTGGCTTTGCTATCTCCCCACTAACCATCATAGATTAAACAAGGGTAACAATCCCCAAAAAAAAGGAGGTACAACCAGAAGCACTGCGCTGTTACACTATAGCCCCTTTCACACAGAGATTCCGGAAATTTGTTTTTTGCGCACAAAAAATATTCTCGTCACTTGATAAACTTAAGACTGAGCCACTGTAATTGGACTATTTTTAACAATGCCTTTAATAACTTCTCTGGGCTGGCAAGTTTCAATCCCTTAGAGTCTATGGAGGAGTGATTCAGCTCTCAGATTTAATCGAACATATCTTAATTTCCATTTATTTTCATTTTTGGGTGAACTATCACTTTAAGTTCTATATAAATTACAAAGTATGGCTACTGACTGGCCCTAAACGGTTTAGCTCTTGTGTATTTAACCAATCTTCTGTCACCCCACAATCCATCACACTCTAAGATCACAAAACTCTGGGCTTCTGGTAGCACCAAGATATCTAAGTCCGATAAGGGAGGGAGAGCAATTTTACATTTGGCTCCTAAACTCTGGAAAAGACTTTCTGATAATGTTCAGGGCTCAGGGTAACACTTTAGAATATGGTTCCTTCGTGATTAACTACACAAGAACCAATGAGTAACACAATATGAACAATCTAGTAACTTTTATTAACTAACAAGAAACTCTGTTTAACAAATTATTAAGTAATAACACACATATAAAAGTGGTACTTCATACATCTATGGGAATTACTAATTATTTGGATCCGTATTATAAAGTGAAGATCATGGGATCTAACTAGTAATGACTCAAGTGTTACTACATGATCTAGTCATGACTTGTGCAACCAAACACTGAAGTCATTTCAAGCGTTTGAGATTTTTGGTGAACTTTAGTATACTTTTAGAAAATTTCTTTAGAAGTATGTAGTAATACTTGAATCATTACAAGTAGCTCCCATGATCTTCACTTAATAATACAGATCCTAATTAGTAATTCCCATAGAAGTATGTAGTAACACATTCATCTGTGCACTATTACTTACTAATTTGTTAATCAGAGTTTTTTTTTTTTTAGTTAATGGTAGTTACTATATTGTTTATAAACTTTTTCAGTAGTTCTCTGGGAAGCATTAGTAGTTATTGATTAGTTAATAGTGAACTACCACTTTCATCTGTAAGCAATTACTTACTAGTTTGTTAATCAGAGTTTCTTGTTAGTTATTAAAAGTTACTAGATTGTTAATATTGTGTTACTTATTGGTTCTTGTGTAGTTATTAATTAACGAAGGAAACGTATTCTAAAGTGTTACCCTAAATTGTAATGCACACATGCACTTTCTGTAAAGCTGCTTTGAACATAACATATCTATTGTGAAACATTATAAAATAAACGTGAATTTAATTGAATATTTTTAATTATTATTATATTTTAATAATTTCCAGTATTCCAATAATATATTCTGATTCTGAAACACAGCACAAATTCAATTAAATTAAATTAAATAAGATTTTCTCTGAAAATCTACAAGCTACATAAATGAACAAAATACTAAGTATATTACTTTTTAAGAAAGTTAATGAAGTTCAATAAAACGAACAATTTAAAGGTTTCTGTTGAGAGTTGTTGACTGTACAACATGTACTACAGCTTGCTGAGGGTAAGTATTGCATAATTTCTTTGACTGGAAACAGCATACAACGTGTTGTAATGTCCTAAAAGTATGAATGTGCACAGTCTAGCGAAACACAAGGAATCAGTGAGCACAATAAAAACAGCCAGTGAGAGGAGAGCGCATTCGAATCATTTGGATGACACGATCATGTGCTGCTGTGTGATGCTGTAGACGCAGTGAATTTGAGGAGAACCGCCGTCTGGTCTTCAGAGGGTTAAATTTCCTTTCGAGGGGGAGTTACTGAATCTGCAGCAACATCAGAGCGCATTCCTCAGAGCTGCCAACATCCCGGGAATAAGACCTTCACCGTCAACATCTCAGAGCCACATCCCGGGAATATACCGCAGTACCGGACACGCGTCGTCTCTTTTGTCAAGCCGCGTTTTCTCTGCTGGTTCGGAGTATGCGAGCTCCAGGATCCGCTCAATGTCTTAATGTAGGTGAGCATACGTGTCCTTAAATTAATTAGTAGTCTAATGTGTAAGGCAACCTGGTGATTTTTTCCAGCTTTCGGTATGGACCTCGTGCTTTAAACGAACGAAACCGTGAGAAAAAAATAAGTCGGGGTTTTATTTTTAATATTTATTTATATATGTAATATGTTCTGTTTCCATTCACTGCAGCATGAGCTTTGTTGTCTTAAATCCTCATACTGTCTTTCGCAATGCCGTCTTATGGGCTATATTTAAAGAATTAACACCGAACACTGAAAACATTACTATTAGGCTACAGTAGCCTCTAACACATTATCACAGCGCTTCTGCTTTAGCACAGACCAGATACATGTGACATTGTAACGCGTTTAAATGGGGTGTTGCAGGTTTATTTTACCGTTAAGTCATACATTTATGAATAATCACACATACAGGTCTTATAAAAATGTGAAATATATTTCTCATTATAATGTCATTATCAAATCATATCCCAGATCTTTTTTTTCTGTTTGCTAATAGAACCTGTTGATTTTAAACGATTCCCTTTAAAAAGAAATACGTGAAAATAGGTTGATATGACATTGATGTTGGCTTCTGGTCTGACCTAAATTCACAAATGTTTGGATTTACCAACAGTGACCACATCCGTTATGAAACAGCTTCATATTGACGCTACACTCAGAAGCATTTATCCGGTGTAGCTTATAGATCTAACATGACATAAAGTGATACATGTAAAAGCATAATCAGTATTTTCTGAGGATTGCATAAGTTTGAAGACTTTTCAGAGCTCCTTGTCTGATTGTACAACGTAACATCATTTAGACAAGATTTTGTATTTCTGAAACTTCACTTTTTAGACTTCCCAGTAGAATCACAGGCTTGATTTTAATAAGAGCCTATACCTATGTGATGACCCTAAATAGTGCTTATTAGTTGCTAAAAACAAGATTTATGTGCTGTTTTGAGAGGCACAAGCTTTGGTGACTTAGTTTACATTTGGTTGCAGCTATAGATATTTAAGTCCTGGTTGATCTTAATGGCTGGGACTTGGAAAAGCTAAGCATTGAAGCCTGATTGACATTACAGTAAGAGTAATGAGAGGACAAGATCTTTTTCAGCATAACTTTAACTGTACTCGGTCATCGGGATTTTGCCAAGTTCCTGGATCATCATATTTTCTTGATCCTGGAAGAACATTATTGTCCAAAAATGTAGTCCTAACCCTATCCCTAAACCTAAATCATGCCATTACGTATCCCTAAAATCAGAGGGGAATAATAAGTGAATAATACTGATGTAGAAGCACCTAACCCTGGTTTTAAGCCTTGCTTGACATAAACTGTAAACTTGTCCCTCAATCTGATTGGTAGATTGGAATGTTCCAGGGTCAACAAAGATGTTGATCCAGGAAAATGTTGTACTGAAAACACAATCACCAGTTACTTTCTATTCCCTGTTTGCCATTTTCATTCCCTTTTGCTTCACCATCCCCCATAGTACTTTTGGAGGAGGAAATACCACAGTAAATATGTTCCTCTTCCTCTTACAAAGCTGGAAATGTCGAGGGAAAATGTAACCTTTTTTAAGTGAGCTCACTTTAAAAGTAGTAAAAAATAAAAACCTATTTGAAACATTGAAGGAAAATATCTTTGTTCGTCACATTGGACATGGACAGATGCTTTCAATCATATTGAAAACAGCAAATGTGTTTTTACTTAAGTATGTGTAAATGACTTTACCACGGACAAGGAGCCAACACTGTGTTTAACTGTTTTAAAATGTGAATTACCATTTAAAAATGATGCTGGGTATGACTCACGTCACGGTCAAGACATTCTTCTTTCTCCTGTCGGTACAATGTGTGCTGTTTTATTGGAACCAGATGTTGGCACTCAGCGTAGTTTCTCTTCTGTCTCTCATTCTGAACTCTTCAAATGCTGTCCAGCACCTTTCCTCCTCCCTCTCTCTTCATAAAAAGACCAACATATTTCAGTGGAGAAGTCCAAAAAAGAGAGAAACAAAGGCAACTCTCCATCACTTTGGACCTTTATGAGACTCTTCTCCACTAACTCTGCTGTCTTTTCTTACCTCTGTGACTTTTTATTAGACAAAAGGGACTGTTATTGTATTTCATTGTGGACATATATAGGTCAGTAGAGAAGTCATGGCTGCTCTTTTATGTGTAGAATGGTATTTCACTGTGTTGGCCACATGCTGAGGTTAGTGACCTTTGCCCCAAGTGTTTGTTTGTACTGCACTTTCCCCCTCCCAAAAAAAGGAATGAAATTGGATTTTTTTTTCTTTATACCTGTAAAGAAAGAAAATGTGCTTAGGGCCACACGTGGAAGCCTTTGCCTTTCAACACGATCTGCTAGGATTACACTTGACCTCCACACACTTAAATGGATAGTTCTCCTGAAATCAGAAATTCTGTTATCATTTACTCACCCTGATGTTGTTTCAAACCAGCATGACTTACTTCTAGGGAACATATCTTTCCTTGATATGATTTTCAAATGCTCTTTAATCAGAGTCTCTGCATGGTCAACATTTATACAACATTTATTCTGACAGTGTCCAGGCTTTGACTCACGACAGGGTAAACTCTCTTGTCCATCTTGTTCAGGACTTAAACCTTGGAAATCATTAGTCCATTGCTGCAGAACCATTAAGACATTCAGCCTTTACTGAAGCACTCCATTTTGGGCTTTTAGAAACCATTGTTTACAGCACAAATGACATAATTTAATCCTCGTTAAGGGTATTTTGTCCAAGGTTTGTGTATAAACAGATATTTAGTTCATTTAGTAAGGTATTGAGCAATCTCGTGGCTTACTGCACTGTTTGTCCTCATTTCATTCCCTTAAACTTAATTGCAGCAAAGGCTGGATCGAACAGCTTACAGTACATAATGACCTCCTACAATTACTCTGTGAAAACTGGATTCACATTTGTTTAGTGTTCAATAATAAGTTTGTTGTGTCACTAAATGAGCCCAGTTAGGGTGTTATGGGTTAGGCAGTGTTTGTAGGCTACTCCAGACATTGTAATGCCCCTTTTGTTCCAGAACACATGAACGACCACACAAGCAGATAGATAAAATTATGGTTTACTGTGCTTTTGAAATGTTTTTACTTATATATATATATAACTCTACTTATCATGGGAGCTATAATAATTTCCTTAAATATCATTGGATAGGCCTAACACTTTTGGCCTAACCCCTCACAGTGGGTTAGGTCCTCTTCTGATAAAAGGAAGGATTAAGATGTTAAATGAATAACAGTATTTATTTTACGTAGAAATCTTTTATAACTTTATAAATGTCTTTACTGTCATTTTGGTCAACTTGCTTTGAATTTTGATGCAATGGTTTCTTCTTTTTGAAAAGTGAGATGTAATTTCTTCTTCTGTGGCTGTGTACTGTGTCCCTTGCCCTCATTTTGTTTGATTATGTGTCTCGGATGATGGATTGTGTGTTTGCTGTGTAAAGCTAGCAGCACTATGAAAAGAGATGCCCAAACGTGTCATCGGTTGCCATAGAAACCATCACAATCCAAAGCTATAAGGGTCATACAGTAATTGGCTAGCCACATGTTGCATTTGAATTGCAAAATGTTACATGAATCAATATCATTATCACCCTAGCCTCCTTTTCTATGGCCAGCTTCTGCTCTGATCCCCATCCTCAGGCAGTTCATTATCCTCAGAAAGAGTCTTAAACGCAGAGGTGTTCTGGCCATTAAATGCATCGTTCAGTCCTGCTTGTGGCACGAGTACAATCAGGTCTTTGTTCCTGGTTCCCCTATGTGTTCCTTTCTAGTTATCCAGTGTCCTGTTGACATCTGACAACACACCCCTGGAGATTTTGTCTGTCCAGTGTGTTTACCTCGGATTCTTGGCATTGAGCTGGGGAGGATGTGTCTTCTTGGGCTTTTTTTTTTTTCATGTGGATATTTACACATACTCCATAGCTTATGTTAAGTGACAGCCTTGGGGCCAGGAATAGGGAAGAGGAAAGATGGTGTTTATATACCCGTTCTTAGTCCTCTCTGGCTGCTGGACCAAGTACTGAAGACCCGCTGAGATGCCAGGCAGGAGAAAATGGAGACTAAGAGGGCTTCTCAGGCTAAGAAAGTGCAAATATTGATGTTGTCCATGCTCTTTGACTGGGAAGCACTAAAGTCATGCGAGTAAGAGAGTGAAAAAAAATCTTTAAAAGGTACAATACCCCATATGTGTACAAAGAACAGCAACTTACGAATCAAATGGTGACCATATGGTTGGCCAGAATATACAGGTCACTGAGTTTAATTGGCCAGCAGAAGAGGATGAGTTGTCTGTTTAGATTAAGCTGTCCGGTTCAAGATGACATGTAGTCATTGTAAAAATTTTCTTTGTTTTTTTAAGAATTTACACCACAGTTTATGGAGTGATATGGATAATGTGTTTTTGTGATTGAATATGTCACATTTGTTTTTCAGATGTCACATTAGATGTTTTTGCTTATGCAGACCTCTTTCTAGCATTAGTGTGAGGTCCGTGGGAAGTTATTTTGAACAACTAACTCCTGCAAATTGTTTTAATTTTTTTTTCACTCATGCTTCCTGTATTTCTGTACCTTGGACTAGTTCCAAAAATTGTCCTGCAAGCTTTTCACATTGTGTGGTTTATTAAAGCAATTAGACATTGTACGTATGATTTTGTATTAAATATTATGGCTACAAATAAATACTCACGAGTAATTATACATTGAATGAACATATTATTATATACACCGTTTGATGGTTTGGGACCAGTAGGATTTTTTTTTCAAAAGTGACTGTGAAGTCTTTTTAAATATTTCTTTTGTCAAATAAATGAATCACAGTCTCCACAAAATTGTTTTCAACATTGATTACAATAATATTTCTTGAGCAGCAAATCCGCTTATTTGAATGATTTCTGAAGGATCATGTGACTCTGCAGACTTGATGCTGAAAATTCAGCTTTACCATTACAGGAATTAAATACAAATTATAAACATTTTCCACAATATTACTACTTTTACTGTGTTTTTGATCAACAGCAGCCTTGATGACTTCTTTCAAAAGCATCATACTGACCCCAAACTTTGAATGTTAGTGAAGTTATCTGGCCAAACTGTTAGCTGTTTGCTATTACCGCAATGTAGCCACTAGCGACTTATATGGAATCTTCAGTGTGCATTTATAGTCATACCACAGCCGCTTTAAACGCAGTTCATCCAGCCAGATATAACAGTCTTAACTGTGTTTACTACAACGAACCCTCGCTTGTTGTTTTGTTGGATACACCATGTCAGAATCTCAAAAGTTTCTGTATTGTTCGCCTTTTGAATGGTTCAGAAATCTTTCCAGGAATATAGTGCTCGTAAAATGATAATGGTGTAAGATAGTGGCATTTTGAAGAAATCTTTCTTCTTATTTGTACTTGTAATATTGAAACTACATAAACGTCTATGGACATACAGTAAATGTGTATGTGAACTGCACAGTCTGGAATGTACAATATTATTTAGATGTGCTCGCTGACAGTATGTTTTCTTCATTGGTGTAGACTTAAAGGAACACTCCGACTTTTTGGGACTTTAGCCTATTCACCTTACCCCCCAGAGTTAGATAAGTCCATACATACCTTTTTCATCTCAGTGCGTGCTATAAGTCTGTTTGACGCACCCACCGCTAGCCTAGCTTAGCACAAAGACTGGATGTGAATGGTTGCAGCTTTCATACTAATCCAAATGAGTGACAAAATAACGCAAACGTTTTCCTATTTACATGTTGTGGTTTGTATAGTCACAGAGTGTGCAAATATCAAGCCATATGAGACACAGACATCTTTTGACCGTATAAATACTATATTTTCTGAAGGGGAAGCACTGCTACTTGGGCAGAGTGATAACAATCACCTGAGACGCACCGTGACGAGGAGCAGAGTTCGCTTCGCTCAGCGTTGGAATAAAGAGTCAGCAATTACTAACGTTAGATAGAAAAGCAAGGTTTATCATGGGTGTTTGCTTTATTGTATGAGCTGTGACAATAAACAGGGGAGACCAGGTATACCATGTTTCATTGATTTCCAACCAAAAACGCACCCAGATTTATAAATATCACATGAATAAATAATTATTATTACAGGAATCAATATATTTTAAATGCAATTTATTAGCTGAACCAAATGTATTCAACAGTAAATACATTTGCCTATATAATATACAGTATTGCATTACTATAGGATAGAATAAGGGGAAAGTAATAGCACAAATTGTTTTTGCACAATGAACTCACAGCCTATCGTACCCTTTTGCACGCTCAAGTTCGTTATTTCCATGGTTATTTCAAATTTAGGCTACTAGGCGCGCCGCGCGCAGGGTGCAAGTTCAACGCGGTAGCAACGCGCTCGTTTTTTTTTTCCCAAGCGCGTCCGCACCGCATCAAGATAAAAACATATTCATACCCTAATCATATAATAGTGTCACTAACGTTACATTAGATCTGGCTAAAGGCACTGTTACAGTAGGTCATCTAAAAACATAACGGAACACTTACCTCAGCCGCAGGTGATCCACTTGTCCTGTCTGTGCTATCGATGGGATGGCCGTATCCTTCAGCACATTATGGTCCGTGTGGCAAATTCCATTTTTTCAAAATAGTCGTCCTCATTGAAATGTACCGAGCAAACATAATGTCCCTTGATAATCTTAGGTGTGTTTGGATAAATATCCAGAGTAAGTTAGCCATTTCTTCATCCAGTCAGCGTTTTTAGTTGGAATTCTGTGAAATGGTATTACCTCCCCTGTTTACAGTCGCAGCTATTTACAATAGAGCGAAAACCCATGACTCTAAACTACGCTTTTACTATTTATAAATTGCTGACTCTATTACCCAAACACCGAGCGAACTCTCCGCTCCTCACCACGGCGTGTCTCCGGTGATGCGGTTATTACGCCGTCAAAGTAGCAGTGCTTCGCCTTCAGAGAATAGTTCCCAGGTTTTATACGGTTAAAAGATGTCTGTGTCTCATTTGACTTTGTTATTTGTACATTATGTGACTATACAAATCACAACATGTAAATAGGAAAACGTTTGCGTTATTTTGCCACTCATTTGGATTAGTATGAAAGCTGCAACCAGTCACATCGAGTCTTTGTGCTAAGCTAGGCTAGCGGTGGGTGCGTCAAACAGACTTATAGCACGCACGGAGATGAAAAAGGTATGTATGGACTTATCTAACTCTGGGGGGTAAGGTGAATAGGCTAAAGTCCCAAAAAGTCGGAGTGTTCCTTTAATACCAAAACTTTACTCCTGACTAATACATCTTATTACTTCACCAGCATGACACATTCTTTCTCTGGTTCCATCCTTCCTTTTTAACTTGAAGGGATGTCACATGCCTATAAAGGACACTGAATTTGTGGATATTTTGTGCCAGGGTTGCTCTGTCTACCGTGAGTTGCCAACAGCTGTTGTTCAGGGAAGGGCAGCTGGTACTCTTTGCTCTTATAATAGAATCTGCTCAATAAATGAACAGCAGAAGTCTGGGGTCACATGTGGGTCGCCAGTGTGAAAGGTGAAGCTGATTATGGGTTAAGAACTATTTATGTCTGGTGAGACTCAAAAGCATTGGACTAGGTTACAACTTTGACTACAGGAAAGATAATATAGCGTATTTAAAAACCTGTGAATTTTCTTGGTCTTTGATTCATGAATGACTGCTTCTAAAAAGTTATATTTTTTTTTTTATTTTAAGAAATATTTTACTTATTTAATTTAGTAATTTTAGTGCTTCAACTTAATCTCTTTTCAGTTAATTACCAAAGCAACATTTCTAGTTTTTAATTTAGTTCAAGTTTTCAATCTAATATTTATATTTATTTATTTTAATTTGCAAACATGTTTTTAATAGTTTTTTTTCTAGTTTTTTAGTTTTAGCTAATAATAATAATAATAATAATTAATAATAACCTTCTAAGTTGTTTTGCAATTACGTAACATAATTGCAACATTGTATTGAATGTTCTACAGGAAGGCTATTTCACGTAAAGTGTATGTATTTATAGGCAGCTCGAGTTGGTGAACTCATGAGGGTTAAAAACATCCCAAATATTTTCGTATATAAGTTGCTTCAATTTTTTTTTTATTGAAAACAAATGTACAAAAATAGCCTGTCTGTGGTATGAAGAAGGTGGGGAATGAATAGATCCCAGATGGAAGGGAAGCTGTGACTTCCTGTCTTTGGGTGCAGGGCGGGATAATTGCAGTGCAGAGACAGCGGGAGATAGAAGCTAAGGGTACTCTGGTCCTGTAATAGATATGCCAAGAAAGGACAGGTTCAAGAAAGCAAAAATGTCTCGGTGACCTATCATCTCAGATAAGTCTGAGCCAGTTATCTGTATTAACTCAAAACATGAATGTCACGTGGGTTGTTAAAGGCTGCGAGTGGGGAGTATTTATGGCTGAACAATGTCACCACAGCAAAATGCTCCAAAGTTCAGGATGTTTATTCAGCTTCTGTTTAAGCACAGCCACTTTGGATTCCATGTGGACTTCAGTTTACTGAGATAAAATTGGTTAGCACATTATTAAAAAAGGTAGCGTTAGAGAGCAAGCGATCACCTTGTGCTAAAAAATGTTCACCAACATCTGACATGCTACAATGCTTGTCTCAGCACTCTCAGTTTCATCAGATAGCATCTAGTTAGAGCATTTACCAGTGTTTTTTAATAAGTCGGCCAAGAAGGTTCACGACTCAAGCTCGCTAAAGAATTAGAGGCATGAATCAGACTCAGTCCATGAATCATTCTAAGGCACTAATGAGTTCACAACTGACTCTCTTACTAAACCTCAAGTCATTTATCAGTTATGTACAATTTAAAATGAACTGGGAATCGTTACTGTGATGTGTAGGCTAAAAGTCCATGAGACTCACATTAGTTTATTGAATAGGTAATTTTTCATATGTGGAAGTTAAGAAGATAGCCTACATGCTCACAACAGAGTTTTGTTTATATAGATTTGAGGGATAATGTTTAACAAGAAACAGAAATATTTTACAAAAAGTATTGATTTTTTTTTATTAATGTTTAATATATGTGGTCCAAATGTAAGGTTGACCTGACTTTAAGTTAAACTTTCTTGGAGTGACTTTTTGGAAACATAATACACAAAACAGTGATATAGGCTATGATAATTGTCTGGAGCCCTGTTGCCTACACACAATCTACTAAATAACGCTACAATGACTGCATTTTCCTTTGATTTGTAAATTTGTGAACCTCTACTAAATCTATGTCCTGTTTTGCTTTCTCTCTCTGTCTCCAGTGCAGGCACTGTTGATCATGGTCCACTACTGAGTCAAGCTGTGGTGCACACACGGCAGAGAGGAGAGCAAGAGGGCTTCAGCTGATCCTGTCTTCACATTTGTTTTGCACAAGGCTGGCTTTTAAACATGTCTGCAGAAGTTGAATCCAGCACACCCCCTGTTGAGCAGGCACCTTTTAAGACACCCTCCAAAAAAGAAAAGAAGAAGGGTATGTGACAATGACAATTTTCACACGTCAATATCTTTGGTTTTTTTGGGGGGGGTTTTGTATACAGGCCAGACCTTGGGTGATTCAAGTGTTTTAAGCACAGCTTTGCCAATGATTGTTTGAAAGGCTGCAATCATTTTACTTTTTACTTAATTGGTGGTTTCTCAGTAAAAGCCTTTATTATGAGAGAACATGTAATGGATTGTTTAAAGAAAGTACAAAAACTAAATAGACATCTTTGCTGACCTACTTGTGTCTACTGGCACATCATTAGTGGTATAGTGAGTATCCCACTGAGATTTGCTGTGAGTCTTTAGCTGTGTGTAATGTGAGTTGCTCCTAGCATCCACGTCTCCAGAGCACCTACAAACACCAAGCTTGATCCATTACAAACATGTAATGAACCTATTCTGAGGTAAAACTATACCCTCATAAGAGTTTTGAAACTTCTGTTGTTCTTGCCTCCTTCCCAGATGAAAAGCCAATTTGTTTAGAGATTTGATCTCAGAATTTACATGAAGTTATGAGTTCTCAAAAAAAGAGAGATGTTTCATTTTGAGATTACGTTCATGATTTATGATTCACTGGATTCCAAAGGTTTTGCCATATTGTTCTCTGACTGTACAGTTGGAATCAGACACAAATGATTTAATAGTTATGTCTTAACTTAAATGCATCAATTTATCATTAAATGTGTGCTTTCCTTGGAAGGTTTCAGTCATTAATCTGTGTTGTGGAATGTAAGGCATGGGTGGGCTTTTGTTAGTTTCATAGGATATAACTTTTTTAATATTGTAATAATATTTAATATTTCGATTTTTGGATTTCTGCATCTAGGGACATTTACAGATGTGCAGCTTATTTATTTTTTACATATATTACATTTTCCCTTTCTCCCCTGCTTTTCTTTTGTCTATAGAGATACATTGTGCTTGTTTGCAGCCTAATTTCAACAGTAAAAGTTTCAAAAGCTGGTAATACAATATTCAAGCTACCTGTTTTCTGTATGTATTATACTATTAGCACATTATATAGGCCTATGTGATGGGGGGTCCTAAATGCAAAGCTGACCCAGTAGTAGCACTATGATTGTGTTTGTGTTATTATGTATTTGTCCCAGTGATTACATCTCACAAATTAAGTTCTGTCTGGTAAAAAAAAATATATATAATAATAAGACACTGTTTCCTCTCAAGAGGACAGTTTGAGTTCATCAAGTTCCTTTACATGTCGTGTAGCGCGGTGCAAAGTTGGCGAACAGCCACCTGCAGAAACCTAAAATCCTCCGTCCAGAGCTCCAGGGGCCTCTTTGACCCAATATTTCTCTGGATTTATTTTTCTAAGCTGGAACCTGGTGCACAGTGGTATTGTTTGTCTTGCCTAGCTCATTCATACCAACAGAGCACACTAGTGATGGATTCCATTACAGTTCTGTTGCTGTTTCCACAATACCTTCCAGCTGCGACGGCAAGACACTCTCCAACATGTCTATTTATTAGCCTTTTCCACAGGCATGAAAACAAGCAAAATGATTCCCACAGTCTCACGCGGAATAGCCAGCAGTGATTTGGGCAATGAGGTGCATCTGGGGTTGAAGGAGTCATGTGTTGGACATAGAAACAAAAATATATTGGTGCAACATCACATTTGATCTTTCAGCCACATTGTTATTGCAGTTCATGTATAGGCCCATTTTTCTTTCATACCTTTAACTTTTTTTATAGAAAAATGGGATTTGGGAAATGGGACTTTTAAGGGATATGGCTTACCTTCATGATCAGGCTCATTTGTGAGCAATAGGGAATATTTATTCAAATTGTTCTCTCTCCACATAACCCACTCATGAGTTTTTACTCGCAGACCAACAAAAATCACTTGTCATCTTGATTAAGACCTTAATAGTTATGAGTAAGCCTAGAAATAACTGTGTTGGTGCTTAAACTTACAACTATGGATGCACCTGTATTCAAATTCTGGCCGATAGTGGTAAGCCGATAATTGATTTTATCTTATGGCCAATATTAAAATGGTATTTTATCTAAATAAATAAAATAAAAACATGCTTAAAACTTATTGAAAATCATTTACATGCTACAAGTGAATTAAGGCATCACAACATTTTAATGTACAGTATGATAAATAAAAATGGAAATGTTTTAAAATGAGATAAATATTACATATAAAGTCAGCATGCAATTAAAATTAACCCTATCTTATTTCGAACAATTCATCCATGCATTTTTCATTGTTTTAATTTTTTATATTATATAAAATAATGTTTAATCAAAAAAATGTCCTCATAATGTTTAATCAAAATGTTATAATTCATCTTCAAGTGAAACGACAGACTTCTCTCTGGTGACGTATGCAGGACTTCTCCAATCAGCTCAATTAAACTTAAATAATTTTGTGTGAGAGTTAGATTCGCCACAATAAGGCAAGCAACTTTATTTATATAGCACATTTTCAAACAACAGACGTTGCCCCAAAGTGCTTTACAAAAATGATAATGATAATGCAAGTTGCTTGCTTTCAGATCATATCTAATCAGATTGCTGATTAACAACTGACATGCACAATTAAAATGTTCAACCACTACATTTAAAAAAAAAACTCAAATATCAGCCAGACCTGTAGATCTTGCTGTAAAAACTCAGTCTATGAATATTCTCTTTATTTTAGCCAATTAAAAAAAAAAAACAGACAGAGCAAAAATGTCTACACATGCCATTTAATGAAAACAGTAACTAAACTAAGCACTCATATTTATGGGTATTATATGTTCACATTGGGAGGGGGTTATAGAGCTGAAACCTCAAGCCTGTAGAGTCCCTGCATGGGATGAATGTCAATGTTGTCCCTCAGCTTGGCCACAGAAGGCATGAGGTCTGGGCCTTGGCCAGACTGTTCTCTCTCAGTCTCTTTTTGTTTCTCTGCATTTGACTCACTTTCTCTTTCTCCGCCTCTGCCATCTCAGCAGCGCCACTGGCCAAAAAGGGACATCGCCACATAGTCAGCTGAGCTCTGGTTTTGAAGTGAGACACAGGGCAGGCAGACAAAATAAATGTCCAAAAGTCAAGAGGAAAGATAATGGATAGTGAGATACCACAGAAGAGCCAATGAAGAGCTCACACAAAGAAGAGATTGGCATTTTCCCAGGAAGGAGGAGGAGATATGAACTCTCAAACTAGCCAATAATGTGGCACATATCCAAAACAACACAATTTTAGGGTCTTTACTATTCGCTTTTACCCACACTTTCGATTTGCGTCGTGTACAACCAGTTGTGATGGTGAAGCCATTTTCATTTGAATTTGCTGTAGCTGAATGCATGATAACAAAGCACCACAACAAGTGCCAACTTTTGGATGTAATACGCACATTTAAATGATCAGAGTAAACGCGGAGAAAACCAATGGAGAAAACCCAAAATTAAAACTCGACAGAAAATAATTTTATAATTAAATATTGCAATACTTTGCACTACTGTATCAATATAATTGCGTGCGTAACATATCACAATACTCAACAGAATAGATTTTTTTCCCCACTACTATCCGGACCACTTGCTCTGTGTATTTTCTACATTTGTAAAGTGGGTGCTGGTTAACAACAGATAGGATTCACCGTCTGCCCTGTTGAGGAGGACATCACCAGCCCCACTCCGGACCCAGAGCCCAGCCAGCCACCTCTCGCTCACAGCACGGTGCATACTCCAGGATCCCCCGGAGAGACAGAGTCCGAACCTCCTGTGATGCCAACATGGCCGCCTAAGCCAATCATTGCCCCTGAAACCAAGCCCAATGGAAAGTCTGTCCAGGTGCGTGAGCCGGCAACATCGCCTATCCCAGTAGGTGTGCTTGTGGAGTACGATAGGATAGATTGGAGCCCCACCCATACTTGAGGCCTCCAGCATCTCCCCTGGTCCCTTCCAGCTCCAAGTCTCCTGCGTTTCCAACGATCCCACCCAGCCTCCCTCTCGCACCTCCTCTACCAAAGATAGTCAGTCCTTCAACCCCATCTCGACTGGTTCCCCTCAGTTCCTTGCCTCTTCCTCTGTTTATCTGTTTACTCCACTCTGCTGAACAGATCTGCCTCGGGTCTTCCAGTCTTCAGTTCCGCCTTTGCAAATGGATCTCCCAGCTCTGCCTTGGTTGAGTCGTCCATTCGGCTCCACCTTGGCTCCTTGCCCCCTCGGCTCCACCTGTGACTGTGGTCCTTATGGCTCCACCGGGCTCCCTCATCCCTCTGGCTCCACCTTGGTCAGTCATCACTCTGCATGCGCCACGGACTTTGAGGAATTCAGCTGCACCTCCACCCTCCCTCCAACCGGCTCCGACTCAGTCATCGCGTACTCTGGCTTCATCTTTGCCACTCGTGACTCCACCTGGATCTCCCATTCTCCTGGCCCCACCGCGGGTGGTCGGATATCTGACTCTTTCCTGGATTTTTTTCCTGGCCTCCAGAGCCACCCTCCCTCCTCTGTTAAACTTTAGAATGTGAGGACGCGCCTTCCGAGAGGGAATATTCATGTTTAGTTTTGTTTTGTTTCTGTTTTGTTCTTGTTTACCTGTGTTCCTGATCCTTGTTTGTTTCCATTATGTTATGCACCCGTCTAGTTCCTTATGTTTTTAAGCCCTTAGATCTCCTCAATACCTTGTCTTGTGTTAACGTTGTGTTCATGTGTAGTGTTACATGAGTACTGTTTATTAGAAGATACTTGTTCGTTCGTTCTCTCTCTCACTCTGGTGGATAATCTACACACGCAAACATTAAACATATCAGCAGCTCTCTGAAGTACTTTGTGTTCATTTTAATCAGCCTCCTTCAGATCTTTTTGTGCCATTGAGTAATCGCCCATATTTTGATATGCACTTGGGTAACTTGCTGACATTTCCAGTGATTGAGTAGCATTCAGACTGAGATTCAGAGCTGAAATTCTGCGTGAGATAACTCTGTATCTCAGACAGCTGGTACCATCAGTTCCTTCCGAATGGCATCTATCCTAGCGACAGCCGTAATTATGTCTCTGAATCGTTTCTCATTCCTCTAAGAATAAAGGATTTCGTAAATGATTCTGCACCGCACTATTCATTCCCATTTTAGAATGCTTTTGTTTTGAATGACAGCTGCGTTTGTGATGAGCCGCATTTGCCTGCTGTAAACTGTAATCAGTTAATTATATGGAGCAGTGTTTTAAAAAGGTTAAATGACAGGGGCTCGTCCTATACTACAGAAAGGACACTTAATTAGTGGTTTCATGTATGAGTGAAGAAGAACTTGCTTTTTCAGCTCTTTTCAAAAGGATAAACCTAGCCAAGAAATCGATGGCATTTTCTCAGAATTGTGTGATGAAGTTCAAAAGAACTTTACTTTTAAGAATTGTATCTAGAATGTATGCACCTTTTCTGAATAAAAGTATTCATTTATTAAACTGTGACCAAAATTTGGATGTCTATATTTGTACTAAAATATTTGCACAAATAGCCTCTGGATAAATCCGGTACAATACATGAAATGGTATTTTTATTTTAAAAATTGTGCATGGTCCCTTCATGAATAAATAAAGAGAAGAAATTTTTTTTTTCTTTTTCTAAAACTTGACTGAAAAAAAGATAATTATGATTATTTACTTTATTATATACACAGCAGTCGATCTATTTTACAAATCTATTTAATAATAAAGCATGGAATTATTTCTCTTTTGCAACACACTTTAAATTAAATAAGTTTAAATCTCACAATATTTTGTTTTATGTTTTAGATTCAAATCTCTCTTTTTATCTGGTTTTTTTTTTCAGCTGCAGCGAGCCCAGAGAAAACAGATGAGTTCCTCCTTGCAAGGTTCAAAGGTAATGGAGTTCGCTACAAAGCCAAGTTAATTGGTGTAGATGATGTCCCTGAAGCAAGAGGAGATAAAATGAGCCAAGACTCCATGATAAAACTGAAGGTCAGTGAAAGCTCAAGCATTTTTTTTTATTATTATTATTACAGTATGTCTTAACTGACTTCTAGCCTAAACTAATGGCGGAGACATAGGACAATATGGATTTATTTCTATTGACTTTTCACAATGCATGTTGTTTTCCAAATAACAAGGAACATTCTCAGAACTTTGGCTAAAGGTGTGGCAATGTTATCTTAAAGTTATGAACAAACATTAAGTTAATATAACGTTTGTTCACAGTTATGTGGTCTTTAAAATGTTCTCAAAAATTTAGCACAAACAACATATGGCTATATATTGTTCACTGAACTGTTCATTTTTAGTTTGTTGTTTGTCTAACGTTTTTTACTGTTGCTAATTGTTTCAGAATGATTTGAGAGCATTCAAAAGTAACGTCCCCATTATGTTTGCAGAATTACAAAATGAATTGTTCCCTCACCATTCATATAACCAAGAAAAGAAAAGTTTTTCAAAAAACTAGAGGTTTAAATGTTCAGAGAGCATTCAGAGATAACGTTTTTGTAACTTAAAAGATACCGTAGCAAAATGGTTTTGCTTCATAGAAAATAGTGCCTTAATGATCTCCTGAGGGCAAACTGTGTCAATGAAATATACCCTTCGATTTTTACGTTTCAGGAGAGTCGACAGAATGTTTTCCAGTATTTTTGACATAAATATTACTGGCGTGAAGTAATTATTCTGTTTTTAGTGTGTTCCGATTTAGTCCAAAACAATCCAAATGGTTTGATAGGCATGTATTTATCAGGAGAACTGACTACATGCAAGAACTCAAAATGATTTGTTTTTTATTCTCAGTAAACATTTATTTGTTTTTTCTCTCTGCGATCCCAGGGCAAGGCAGTGGCAGCTCGCTCTGCGGGCAAACACAAGCAGAGAGTGTGGGTGAACATCTCCCTCGCAGGAATTACTATAACTGATGAGAAAACAGGGGTCTGTCTCTCTCACTCACTCTTTTATTTATACTAGACTAGAATAAACTCTTCAACTGATACACCATTTGATACCCAGTATACAGTATTCATTGTTACTTTCTTTTGATTTCTTCAGGCAAAAATACTGGAGCATGCAGTAAATAAAATCTCCTTCATCGCACGGGATGTCACTGACAGCAGAGCGTTTGGCTACGTGTGCGGTGCGGAGGGCCAGCACCAGTTCTTTGCCATTAAAACAGCACAGCAGGTCCAGTGAGATTTTATGGAGCAAAGCTGTTTCCTTCTTCACACACTCATGCCTTTAGGCACACACATACAAACTTGTTCTCTCTTTCTCTGTTACTTATTTCCCAGTAGTGCGTTTTTCTAAAGGCATTCCCACAAAAACAGCCCCCCACCCCCCCTGCTCACAAACATTCACTCATAAACCTGCTGGAAAAGTGCCTTTTAACACATTGCTTGTGTTTCCACTCAGGCAGAGCCTCTTGTCGTTGACCTGAAGGATCTTTTCCAGTTAATCTTCAATATGAAGAAAAAAGAAGTTGAGGGTTCAAAGAAGGTGTGAGACCCCTCAAAAGTATTTTTAGATGTATCTAGACTGTGTGTGAGCTGTTGAGAAACTTTTATACTCATATTTCAAGTGTAACTCTTTCAAAATGCAAGAAATTACTGTACCATTCAAAGTTTGGGTTGGGTTTTAAAGAAATTAATACTTTTTAATTCAGCAAGGATGCAGAAAATTGATCACAAGTGACAGTAAAACATTTGTAATGTAACAAAACACTATTTATTCAAATAAATGCTGTTCTTTTGAACTTTCCGAGGGATCTTGAAACACTGGAGTAATGACTGATGAAAATTCAGCTTCGATATCACAGGATTTAATTGCATTTTAATTATTATTATTATAATTAATTATTTTCTGTTCAAATAAATGCAACCTTGGTGAGCTTCTTTCAAAAACAAAACAAAAAAATGTTTTTTTTTTTTAACCAACCCCAAACTTTTGAATGGTAGTGTATGTAAATCACCACAAACTAAACTACTCAAACTCTTGTGTATTGATATAGCTCTTTTTGTCAAAATATATGTCTAATCAGATCTTGTTTTCTCTTCAGGATGAAAATAATAAAGTGATAGAGGTTAGAGACTTTACTGTAAATAAACATCTGCTAAATGTTTTATCATAATATATATTTTGCTTCTAACTTCCGTCAATCTTACCTTAACAGAATGGCAGTGAAGGCTCACACAATGACAGAAAAGTGAGTATGATTTACATTCACCAAATGGTCCTGATATTGTTTCCCAACAGTTAAAGAGTTTTGTTAGTGGCCTCCAGCCTGAAGGGTCCCAGATGCAAGTAGAGTTGTGTCTCTCTGGCCCAGTTCCTAAAGCCCCCTGCTGGGTTGTCTTCATGTTGTTGTTCACCATTTGCACACTGCACCTAAACTAGTCTCCTTAGGGGGTGAAAGCTAATGAAGTTAGCAGACAGGAAATAACTGAGATGCATCACATAGCAGCTTTGGACATTCTCCCACCACTCCTTTCACTCACAGCCTTTGGAAAAAAACACAATTCTCCTCATTCTTCAATGCTCATTTCCTCCCATTCATCTGCCCTCCTTATGAATGGTTCTTCTCTTAAGTGTTTGGGTTTCTCTGACTCTGTTTGGTGTCAACTTTTTTTTTCAACTCTGTTTAAGGGCGTTGAACAGCTGGACTTGTTTGGAGACATGTCGACCCCACCTGACTTAAACTCTCCCTCGGTAAGACTGTTGGGCAAGAATGAGTCATGCATATTAATGTATAAATATACACATTCAGGCTGAATGTGAGACATTTTCACTCAGTTTTCTATTGACGGTGACGCTCTATTAACACAAGAATGATAGACTACCATCATGAACGCTATTTCCATGGAGTTCCCATATACACCAGCTCATTTACCAGACCAAAGCAACATTATCCAAATGAGACATTACACGTTTGAAAGAGACGTTTAGTGGCGTTTAGACAAGTCTCTTATCCTGCTATAGTCCTTGTTTAGTCTCTGGTGCTTGATTGACCTCAAATGAAGAAAATGCTGTCATGGGGAGGAAAAGGCCTGGGTTCAGGCCAACAAAAATAACAAGCACTAAAAACTCAACAAGGCTCAGTTGTTTGAAGGCACTGCTCTATAGAGGAACTTCACAACTATATGAAGCAGTTTTTTTCTCAGTATGATGAATTCTAAAAGGCCTTTGAAATTAAATGTTACGTGTAAAATACCAGCCTGTTCTCATCCCAAGGTGTCGCATTTGACAATGCGTTTACATCCAACGCACATGGCACCCTTTAGCATCAATATGAGACGCAGATATATATGGGCCAGAAGGTGCCTCCTAGTGGTCTAACCCTAACCCTACCCCAGACCTAAACCTACCCAGAACCAAAGCCTGTTATATTGACGCTAAAGGGTGCCATGTGCGTTGGATGTATACGGATTGTCAAAAGTGTCACTATATGATGCCCTAGGATGGGAATGCGTTGAAAATACATGATTTTCCACAAAAAGAATGAATCTTCCCTTATCCAGTCATCTTCTGCGTGCTGTTTACTTTCATGGTTGACTTTTTACAAGTGGTGTTGATGCAGAGTTTGTTCTGTTCTTCTAACTAAACATTGCATTGACTGTGAGAGAACAAGTTCAGGTAATGTGTGCATATACTGTGAAGTTGATTCATTCATTTTAGCCATCCATTATTCAACCAGTGTTTTGTTGTCAAAAGCATGGTATATTGGGGGAAAAACACTTAAGTAGGGTTGCCAACTTTAGTAGAGTATAAGGGACACCAATGAAATGCACAAGAAATTGACTAAAATCGATTGTCCTAGGATTTCACTTTTTCTAATTTGTTTTCTAATCTGCTCTGTAGTTTCTATTACATTTCTGCAGACATATAAAATGTATTACAACAGTTACAAAACAGATGAGAAACAGATACTCTGCATTGACTTACAACTCTTGGATAGACCTACAACCAATCAGAGCAATGCAGTAAGTGACGTATGTTGAGCTACGCTTAGTCAACAGAACCAGAGACAATTTGTTGGTACAAGACACTTCCCTTAAAGACGGTTGGCAGCCCTACACTTATGTCATGAACGTACATGCTTGCATTCTGATTGGTTAGACTACACAGCATTTATATGGAACAAGTTTATCCTATTTCATGCATGACTTCATCTATACACCACTTAAATAAGCATTCATGCATAAATGACATCAGCTTATTATTTATTTATTCTTCTCTTTTCGTTTCTGTTTCTCTCCCAATCCTCCCAATCTTACTTCAGGAGTCTGAGAACATCCTGTTGATGGATCTGTCCACTGAGATAGACAGCAATCAGAACTGTGTTAAAGGAAACCCCTTCGCATCATCTTCTATCCACAGAGCCCCGTCCAGCCTCTCGCCTGAGAACCCCTTCTCTTCTCAGCTCAACTTCTTCCCCGCCCCTATCCATGACCCGTTCAGTGATGACCCATTTTCAAGCGACGACCAATCAATCAGGGACTACCCTGCCACAGAAAACCACAGCACTAATAACTTGTTCAATGGTGGCCCTAAGAATGGTGACTCGGATTACTTGGGCCAGCAGTTCGACCAGCTCTCCAACAGGACAGTCATCCAGGCCCTCAGTAATGGCCACTGGCCTTTAGATGGCAGAGCTGCAGAAGCCACTAGCTGGACTCAGCATCCTGTCCCAGTTCAAGAGCAGAACGGACATGGGAAAGTGACTCCTAATCCGTTTGTCATAGATTCGGAGAAGATGCAGCCAGTGCAGAATGGAGTGAAGCATGAGAATGGAGGCATGGGTGAGCTACCGGTCAATCAAAACAAGGATTCGGTTATCATAAGCCCTCCACCACTCAATATGAAAGCCGGGAGGGGCAGGAGGAGTGTAAAGGTGAGAATACATTAATGACTATATTTTCATAATTAGATCACATTCTACTTTTCTTTTTACTGCTTTCTTATTTATATCTAACACCACTTCATGATCTGGTAATGTTGTTTACCTCAATTTTTAATGCTTCAGTGACTTGTACTTGTAAGGTAAGGACTGATTTGCTAATGTCTTTCCCATCACATTATGACTTTATAAATATATATATACATATGAAAAAAGTCTTATGTTCATCAAAGCTGCATTTATTTAATCAAAATACATTAAAAACAGTATTATTTTGAAACATTATTGCAATTTAAAATAACTGTTTTCTATTTTCAAATATTTTAAAATGTAATTTATTGATGGCATATCCCTCTATGTCTAACCCTCTGATGGCAGAGCTGAATTTTTAGCACACAACTTTTTTCAACATTGAAAATAAAAATATATTTTGTGGAAACAATATATATATATATATATATATATACAGTATATATATATATATATATATATATATATTTCCCCTAGAATTCTTTAATGAATAGAAAGTTCTAAGAACAGTGTTTATTTGAAATATAAATCTTTGTAACATTATAAATGTCTTAACTGTCACTTTTGGTCAATTTAATGTGTCCTTGCTGAATAAAAGTATTAATTTCTTTAAAAAGAAACTACAAAACTTTTACAGACCCCAAACTTTTTAACGATAGTGTGTGTGTATATAAGATGTCCTATGGTTAATTTCTAGTGGTGTAAATAATATTTCTTTACATTACAATTAAACTTGTTTAAGCCTGTTGTTCTGGGGGTTTTTGTTGTTGTTGTCTTTTTTTTACTTTTTTTAACCTGGCTGATTTTGTGATAATTTTTTATTCTCTTTTATAGTCCCCTTCAAATGAAAAACTTGAGATGGATCTATTTGTTTCACCAAATCAATCAGAATCACCACCTCCTCAAACCGAAAACTGCCCTGTCAACTCTGTCAGTTTGTTCAGCAGGAGCCCTTCCTCCACTGAAGCACTCTCAGTTCTTGGTAAGACACTCTCGAGACAATAAATAAATAACTTGACATTTGTGACTCTGGACCACAAAACCATTCATAATATTTGGCCGAGATACAACTATTTGAAAATCTGGAATATGAGGATGCAAAACAAAATCGAAACATTGAGAGATTGCCTTTAAAGTTGTCCATTTATGTTCATGGTTGTGCTGCATTCACTCACAAAAATAAATGTTTTATACATTTACGGTAGGAAATTTACAAAATATCTTCATCAAACTTGATTTTTACCTAATATCCCAATGATTTTTGGCATAAAGAAAAATTTGATAATTTCAACCCATACTTTATTATTGATGCTACTTGTGATTGATTTTGTGATCCAGGGTAACATTTGTGAGTTTCCAATAAAATACTTTTTCAAAATGTCAGTGATTCTACTTTTGTGATGTTACTTTATACAGTAATGGAATGGAATGGTACCTAATTTTAGGTATAATTTCTTCCATAATTTTATACAGTATAAAAGGGTATAATAAAAGTGTAATTCATTAATCTCTATGGGTCTCATTGATGAAACACGAGCAGAACGAATTTTTGTGTAAATCGTGTGTAAAGTGGTTCTGGCGTAAATTTTCAGATTCATTAAAATGTTCGTAATTTCCTAATGTTAGTTGGTATGCAAGAAATCTACACCTGCTCCCAGCCTTGCGCTTAACATCCGAACGTTTTTCTCATTAATAAGGCTGCATTTTAATTCACCTTAATCGGGTACATATTTAAACAGCATTTTGAAAAAAAAATATTATATAGTAATTACATACGTTTTTTATTTTTAATTTTATTATGAGAGCCAGTAATAGATCTGGTGATCGATGGTGGTCCTTCTCCAGTTTGAATAAGATTTTTCCGAAGTGATTTTCCCGAAGAAATTCGTTTTTTTTTTTTTTTTTTTTTTTTTTGCTGTCAAGCTTAAAGGAGTATGTAAGATTGTGGCCAAAACTGGTACTGCAATCAGTTTCAAATTACTGTAGGGTGGTGTATCCCCTCCCCCTCCCCCCTGACTCGAGGTTGCCAGATAGGTTGCAGGATCCACCTTTTTTTATCCCACACATGTGTATCTGCAGCTGTGGTAACTAGAGCAGAGCTGGCAACCCGAATGCTACAACACTACTGACTCCGTGATTGGTAGATCGGTGGAGGGCGGAGCATCAGACCAAAACACAACATGACAGTTGAGGGCTGCAACTTCACTTTTTAAATGACAATATCCTGGCCAGACTACTGTTGTCAGTGATATAAGTATTTGAAATGAACATGATTTCTAAATGTCTAGTAACATATCAGGGCCATTTTATGATTATTTGAAATAAATTTCTTACATACAGCTGCATTTTCTCCATTTTGTTGAACCATTTTCTTCTCACTTCTGGGACTGTTCGATTTACAGATGAAACTACATTAACTACATCTATGCTGCCAAGCTTTCTTTTTTTTTAGGACCTGGACCTAGACACACACACATTTCACTATCACATCTGAAATTTAAGAAATATTTGTGAATCAGGAGAAGGTCTCTTTACGCACAAATCACTCTCATATTTACTTACGAATGTTTCATGAATGAGACCCTATATGTATTATATATACGTAGATTATAATACATATAGGGATTATTTAATTACATTTCATCTACACTTCCTTTTAAAAGTTTTTGATGTTTTGAAAAAGTAATAAAAAATAAAATAAAACAGTAATATTTTAAAATATTATCACAATTTAAAATAACTGTTTTCTATAGGATTATATTTTAAAATGGAATTTATTTATGTGATGACAAAGCTACATTTTCAGCAGCCTTTACTGAATTAGTCTTTAGTGTCACATAATCCTTTCTTCTTATTATCAATGTTTAAAACCGTTATAATGCTTAGTGTTTTTGTGTAAACCGTAATGATTTTTTTCAGGATTCTTTGATTCTTTTAAAGTTCAAAAGAACAGCATTTATTTGAAAAAAATCTTTAGTAACATTATAAATGTATTTACTGGCACAATTTAATGCATCCCTTAAAGATATTAAATTCTTTTAAACCTTTGAGGGATATTGTACAGTAGAATAATATTCACAAAAGGGGTGGCTGATATGGTGATTATTATTCTGTTTATCACAGTAATTACACATTTAAATGTTTAGCTCTTTGTGAGCAAAGAATGGCATGGTCCGTTTAATTATTGTAAAACTGATTAAGTGCAGCTTTATAATATTTAACCTTCTTTTTATCATCTCTATATCTTCTCTAAAGAAGGGTTGTCTCTACAAGCTCCACCTGCAGTTTCCACTCCTGGAGCGGCTCCGTGGAATCAGCCCCTCTCGTCCATCTTCCCCAGCACCATCAGTGCCTCTCAGCCCTTCACTCAAGTACCGGTTTTCTCCACTTCTCCTGGGCCTGCCTGGGGAACTACTCCTGGAGGTTTTGGAACCTCGACCGCAGCCCAACAGCTTCCATCATGGACCACTCCCTCAGTCTCCAATGGATCCAATGGATCCTGGACCCATCATACAACTCTGGGGAACCCCTTTCAGACCAGCGTATTTCCCCTCAGCCTTGTGGCCGACGGACCACAGAGCTCCAGTCCCCCTCCACTGGTTCCACCTCGGGCAGTAGCCACCAAAGAAGCTCCAAAAGTGGACAGTAATGCTTTTGTGGACCTGGATCCTCTAGGAGAAAAGGAGAAGAGAGATGTCAAGGAGATGTTTAAGGATTTCCAGATAGCTAAGCCACCAAACGTGGCAGCAAGGAAAGGTATGCATATATGGCTGTATTTGTAATTAAAATCTCACTCATTTTAACGATTCATTAACACCATCTCCGCATCTGCTGTGAGTCGCTTATAACGTGCATTTGGGAATGCAGCGTATGACTGGATCACTTTATTACACATTTGCATAATTTTCGAAATTTTTTGGACATACATTTTTAGTATTTCACCAGATTTGTAACGGGAGCGTTTATAAACCTTCACCTAAACACAGTTTTCCAACAAAATAAAAGCTTGAAGATTTAAAGGGTTAGTTCACCCAAAAATGAAAATTCTGTCAGTATTTACTCACCCTCATCATGTTGTTCCAACCCCGTAAGACCTTCGTTCATCTTCGGAAAACGAATTAAGATATTTAAGATATTAAGATCGCTCCTGCATACTAGTCCAAAGGCTTCTTGAGGGAATGACACTTGCTTGCATCGAAAAGTCATCTAAGACATCGTTAAAATAGTGACTACAGTGGCTCAATTTTAACTTTATCAAACGACGAGAATACTTTTTGTGTGCAAAAACAAACAAAAATAACGACTTTATTTCAACTATTCACTTCCTTCTCTATGGGCCTGTAGTCAGTTAACGTAGTGTGATTGCGTAGAGCTACGTCACATGTAGGCTCACTATTGGCCGACGCTGGTCATGTGTGTGATGCGTGTGACGTACAATAACAGAAGCTTACGCTATTAAACTAGTAACCTGACTCGAGGCAGAGGGAGAAATAAACAAATAGTTGAAATAAAGTCTAAATAAAATATTCTAATTATCAAATACATTTTAAATATATGTAATGTGTTTTCAGTGCAACTGCATTATTACAATAGTAATATATTTATGACTTTATGATCATTTTTTTATAATTACAGTCAAAAATAATAATGTGAAAACAATATGATTAGTATTATATGCAAATTAATTGAGTTCCTAAAATACAGTGTGAACAGGATGTGGACTGTGACACTATTACAATTAAAAAGATGTAAATAGATATACTGTAAATAAGTATCTTTACTGAAATTAAATATTTTATTTGTTTACCTATGTAATCTGACGATTTGCCAACAGCCACAACATGCAAATGTGTTGTTAAATTATTAAAATATTAACTTTTAAATTTTACTTCAAGTAAATATTTTAAGGTCAAAGGGCTTCAGCTGAAAAAAAAGTTTAATTGGAAAAAACGTGGCATGACAAATAATGTTTGTCACTGCAGAGCCATTGAAGATTGAAGGTCAGAACCCATTCGACAACTCCTTTGGAAAAGATCTGTTTGGCAAGTCTGTACCTGCAACTGTACGTATATGTGCATCCTTATGTTATCATACAACAAAGGCGGTTTTTTCCCCTGAATAAGAATAATTACATTTATTTTCTTCTTTACCTTTACAGAGTGCTCCTCCCTTAAAGGCAGTGGGGTTAGATCCTTTCAGAGACCCATTTGGAAATCCATTTGCATGATAGCCGGCCACCTTGATGACTCCATAGGGTCCAAGTATGGATCAAACAAAAATCATTGAACAAGAAATTATGCAAAAACAATTCCATTCCAGATGCTTCTTACAGCTTTATAACTTTTTGGTTTTGGCAACATTTTTTTTGTTTGTTAGTTTTTTACAGAGCACCATTTTATGGTGTAGCTTTCCCACTGAAGTGCATCCTGTTCAAGAGCAGGTCTCTTAGCTCTGATGTCACAGCCAATGTCTGACAGCCTAATTAAGTCTGTGCAACCCCTCATTCTTTTCATAAACCAGAATTGGATCTGCATGGTGGTCGTTGGCAGGCTGAAAATAAACCATCATCATCTGGTGCTGGTATCCTGTTAAACATGATTTTCGGTGCATTTTGTCTCTAAACAATATGGTGATAGTAGTTTTATTTTGTGCACTAAAAGCACTCAAAAGCAATTTTGTCATTTTTGCACCAGTAAACAAGGCATTGATGTCTGTTGCAGTATTATTTTGACATCTTATGTTTACTTTTCCACATTTATCAAATGCTTTTTAGGGCACGATTGGTCTCTAATTTTGACAAAACAAATGTTTTTTTATGAACTGGCATATAAACTGAAAAAGATTCCAGATTCTTTTTAAATCCTATCCTGGATTATATTACATGTCCAAACACAATCCAACATGATGGACAGCATAGAGACAATGTAAATAATATCTGTAGGGATGCTTTGATATGATAACTGTGCAATCGACATCTGATGATCTGATCTGTACTAATCACATGATACATACTGTACTGACCTGTTCACTATAAGAGAGCAACTGACTCTAATCAACCTGTATTTGAACTGAATCCCTTGCGAGATGTTCTTTTCTTTTTTTCATGAACTGTATCCCGTGCTGTTATTTGTGAGGTTGTGAGCTTGCTGCATTGACTAATATATAGTATGTACTGTTATGAGGTTAAAAGTTCTCTGTTTTTGTTTTGATTTGACATTGTATTGAATGAATAATCTTTAATTGTGACCACTGGCATGTTGTCAGTGGCACTTCAACTATAAACACCTTCAAAAATAATATCTTTATCCATAGTGTTGGAGGATGTTGCCTGTATGAATTTTAGGCGATACATATTAAGCACATTGTTTTGCGTGAAACATAATCATCCAGAATGTTTCAGGTAATACTTGATAGAAGTATATTGATGTGTCTGTCTGATTGATGGCATTTACTACACTGCTCTTTATTTTTAATGTTTTCCTTTTTGATAGATGAGGATATAATCGTTTTCCACCAGAAAAATTAAAGGGTTAGTTCACCCAAAAATAAAAATGATGTCATTAATGACTCACCCTCATGTCGTTCCAAGTCCGTAAGACCTCGTTCATCTTCGGAACACAGTTTAAGATATTTCAGATATAGTTTTCTGTCCCTCCCTTGAAAATGTGTACGGTATACTGTCCTTATCCAGAAAGAAAATAAAGACATCATCAAAGTAGGCTATGTGACACCAGTGGGTTAGGTAGAATGTTTTGAAGCATCCGGTTCCCAGATCCGGTGTTACCAGAGAACAAGTCAACAGCGTCTTACGTCAGCACTACAATACAATGCAATATTGAAGTATTGAAGACAATACAATGTTTTATAAAGTCATAGTTTTTGTTATTTTTGGACCAAAATGTAATTTAAATGCTTCAAAACATTCTAACTAACCCACTGGTGTCACATGGACTACTTTGATAATTTCTTTATTTCCTTTCTGGATAAGGACATTATATTGTACACATTTTCAATGGAGGGACAGAAAACTCTTGGACTAAATCTAAAATATCTTAAACTGTGTTCCGAAGTTGAACAGAGGTCTTACAAGCTTGGAATGACATGAGGGTGAGTCATTAATAACATCATTTTCATTTTTGGGTGAACTAACTCTTTAAGTGGGCAAACATATAACTGATATGCATTCATCTCAGTGGATTAATGATTTTTTTTTTTTAAATGAGGAATGCATTTACTATACTGGATGTTGAAGCCTTGTCAGAATGAACTATGTGAAGTATCTGTGTGTACTGTACATATATAAATATCTGCTCTGTTATGCACTATGCCATCTCTACCTTGGATGTTATAGAACTAAGGTGTTGTAGTCTCGCTGCAATAAACTGGAATTTTAGTTAGTGAGAATAGATTCAGAATTGTCCTATTTATCTTTTGCAAAGTTTGTATTCAAGTCTAAAAGATTAGGTCTACTTCACATTAAAAAGTGTTGACTGACTGATTTGAGTCTCACGTCTCGTATATTTCATTTATTAAAATTGGGAGAATCTAATGGTTTATATATTCTATGAATGCGAATGGGATCCCCTTACAAAAAAAGAATTATTCTTCAAGTTAATTTTATGAAGTATACGTCAGTAAAGTGTATTTAATATATTTATATAAGTATAATCAAGTATATTTTGAAGTATACTTTATGTAGTAACTAAGGATATCAATGTTCTAGTAGAATACTTGTAAGTGTACTATTTCAATAAGGCTTTGGACTTAATTGACACACTTTTTAGTATAAGTATACATTTAAGTGTACTATAAGTTTAACATTAGTAAACTTGTAAGTGCACAACTAGTTTACAGCTATGTTTCTCATTTGTACTGGTTCTGTACTGCAAGTGAACTTATAAGTATACGTGTAGTTTATTATTTTAATATTTGCAGTCGATTTTTTGTTAATGAAAGTACACTTTGAAGTATACTCAGTAAATTAATAGTTTATTAGTTTTATCCTTCAAGTTTACTTGTAGGTTTTCTTTAAGTGAACATAACATAATACTTATAGTTTACTGTTTATATACTGTATTAGTTTAGCACTTTAAGTAGGCTATACTATGTTTGTCACAGGTTGGTTCAGAGAAGACAGACGAAGAACGTACTAAACACTGTCTTTAATTGTAGAGACTAGGGACACACAGGAACAGGTGAGGTGGTGTGTCGAACACAAACAATGCCGGACACTGAACTGAAGACAGGCAGGAACTAAACACAGAGATGATGAGTGCAAATGGCAGGCAGCCGTGAGGGAGGTAATCGATGTTCAAGGTTGTGGTGTGAAACACAGACACATGTGGACACATGGGAACACATGTGACCAATCAAAACAAAGTAAAAGTCAAAAAGTGCCCTGTGATAACATAACCCCCCCCCCCCCCCCCATTTTTTGAGATGAGATTTTGCTCATCTCAAACAAGCCTCCTTTCTGGCTTGCCTGTGCTTTTTCACTCCTCCTCTCACTGCAGCCGCCTACTCTTGACTAACGTTACATTTCAGGCGAGAAGAAGCACATCTCAAGCAAGCCTATATCATGACAGAAAATGCTAATCAATGACTACAAGATAGTTAACTCCACATCAGCTACATAAATTCATCAACTAACTATTCAGAGATGTCCTCTTGCATTCTATATCTTGTCACTTCTTGTTGAGTCTCTCCATCTTTGACTGTGCTTTAAACATAAAAGGTTTTGAAATTTTCAGTTGATGTCTGTGTGAGGTAATCGGAGCTGCTCTTGAAGCTCCATCCTCGTGCTGGGAGCAGCAGCTGCTCATTGCATTTAAAGGGAAACACAAAAACGGTGGCGGTTTTTGCTCACCCCCAAAAAGTGACAATTTTAATATAGGCTACTATAAAAAAATATCTGTGGGGTGTTTTGAGCTAAAACTTCACATGCACACTCTAGGAACATCAGAGACTTATTTTACATATTGTGAAATGGTCATTATAGGACCCCTTTGATATTTGATACAATATCACATACTAGCACTACCATGATTAGCAAGCACACTTTAGGTATTTCATAATGTGCACATACTTCAAACTGATGAAGTAGTAAGAGTAATTCCAAAATGCTGGTGATGATCTCTTGAGAGAATAATGTTAAGTAGCCTACATCATAAGAATAAGGAAGAAACACTGTAACATGCTTTAGATGTTACAGTGTTTTTTAAAATGGGCTTACATTATTGTTTAAATTTCATAAATTTATGTTCTCAATGACATGCCTTCAGTCATAGTGCTCTCCACGTGTGTACTACCAGAGCCATGTGTACTACTATTAGTCACAGCTGACTCTCTGAAACTGCTGGGTAATGTAGTTTTTTAGTGAACGAAAAGAGCCAAAGAGAGTAATGGTAAAACTACAAAGACCCACAATGCCTTTCGCTGGATGAGAGGAGTCGAGTGGCGTGGTGGTGGCCAGACCGGCCGGTGCGCAAGGAAAGTTACTGCAGGGGAACCATGCAACCGGCAGAAACGGCATTTTACCATTTTAACCGCGGCAATCACATTGACAGGGTTACACTGTGATTTGAACTGAAGTAAGGCGTGTTGCTTTTTTGTTGTCATTACACATTTACCGTGTTATCGCTGGCAATTCAGCTATGTCTGTGAGCAGGCATTAGGAAATGAGTGTGGACACCACACTGAGGCATGCGGGAATCTGAGGCGTCCGTCGAGCATAATGTGGCCAATCTAAGATTTACATTTTTTTAACAATTCAGAGTTGCCCCTCTTATATATTTTTAATCTCAACAAATGTTGGTATTCATAATTTACTCAGTGAGCAAACTATAAGACCACGGTTTAGAAAATACATGAATTAGGCAGTATTGACCAATTATATTAACACAACTTAACTAGCAGCCACGCAAGAGATGGCCAACATCATATCGATAAGATCAGTCAGTCTTGACCACATGATACGGTTTTAATCTCATGTAAATAATCGTTTGTCCTGGTGCAACTGAGGGCAACTTGAACTCAGTCACGTGACACATCATCTTTATGGACGTGAGTGTGACGCAACCGTATACATGACTTGATCTTACCACAGTGATCTGACGAGGATGCGAAGATCAAGAATTAGTATTAAGCCTAATGTCAGGCCAGGGGGTCGAGGTGTGGCGCCAGTTGCAGAGGACAAGAGTTCCCAAAAGTCCACAGCTGTTGACGACACCCAGCAAACACCGTTACCTCCACAGTCTCAGCTGGACGTGAGAGAGTCTGCTGTGGCGACAGGAGATGGACATGCCCCAGGCTCTCCCTCAGAGAAAGCATCACTTAACACGTAAGCAGCACACCCCTGAAAGCATCCAGAGAATTTACAAATATATATAATTTTATAAAAATGTCATTTCCACCAGACCACCACAACCTGTCTTTGCCACCACCACAATGAACACTGTGACATTTCCCCCTTTCCCTCTAAAATATCATGCTTTGTTAGTCTGTTAATATTAGTTTTACAGTTAGCATTAAATATACACAATTACACATTATTAAATTAATTTTATCCAGTTATTTTTTATGTCCACGTGAAATATGAGCCGTTTGGAAATGACAGCCAATAAACATATTCTCAGTTTTAGTCATATTTACTGTGTTTTTTCTTCTTTTCATTACCCCATAAAGAGGTCACCCTTTCACCCAGCCGTGTGTTCACTGTGGAGTTTCTATTGCTATGGTTATTAATACAAACCTAAAACAATGATCCCATGATTCTATTTTGTATACTTAAAATCTACATTATTTAAATTTTTAATTTAGAATTAAGCAAGGTTGAAGAAGGTACAAAGTCGGGCTTATGGACAGGGGGAAAACAGTAAAAATCATGCATAAAACGCCATATTATATAATAAAATGAATGATTGAGCCATGATATATTTCCCCCTAGGGTGGAGTAAATGTGACAAAAAGAAGAAATGTTTTTTAGATTGTATTATTTCATCCAGGGACAAGAAAAGTACCATAGTTAGAGAAACACCCATATATATATATATATATATATGAAGAGTTCAGATGCAAAAGCCTCTAAATGCCATTTGAAATTTTCTTCTAAAATGACCATTTTTATCAAGCTTGTATATTTAAGTTCAGTAATTTCACTTAAATGACAATTAATAGGTAATCTTCATTGCCATTTAAGTGAAATTACTGAACTTAAATATACAAGTTTGATAAAAATCATCATTAAAGAAGAAAATTTCAAATGGCATTTAGAGGCTTTTGCATCTGAACTCTTCATATATATATATATATATAAATATATATTTTTTTCAAACCATTTTAAGGAAGTCTTGTTATAAAAAATATATATATACACATATGTTGGGGTGAATCTTCTAGCTTCAAACAGCATGTCGGAACACCTCCAGGACCCAGAGGGTTAAATTTAACAAATCATTGCATACCGGTATCTACCATTCAAAAGTAATAATGTTGTGTATTTTTGCCTGCTTAAACTGTGCTGCTCCTGTTTAGTGATTAAAACGATTGTTATGTAGTGAATATTTAAAAAAAGGCTTTTATTTAATTGGTTAAACTAGCAATGTTACAGTGGAGTTTTGAGGGTTAAGCGAGCAGCTTAAGGCATTTTAGTTAAATAATACCTGTACAGAATCCAGAATGATTTAAACAATACAGCAGTACTTTTATTGCATGGATATTGTGCTGTCTGATGTCAGTCTTGATATTGTTGACTCGGTTCATTAAAAATAGCTTCTGATGATTTAAAATAAAAATATTAAATGAAAATGTTGCCTTGACTACTAAAGTAAGTTTAAATTGAATTAAAAGTACTAAAACTAAACTGAAATAAAAAATAAAGATAAAAAAGCTGAAAAATATTAATTAGTACCATATAGTTATGAAATAGCACTGTCTGATGCTTACTATATTAAATTAGTTTTTCTCAAAATTCTTGTTCTTCTGTGTTCTGTTTTTTTCAGTTTTATCATAATTCTTGACTCATCTTTCTATTTTCCTTATCATAATCTAGATTTATCTTGCTATTTTTTTGCTGCATATGAATGTGAACTTTGTGATTTCAGGTATTTATTAGCTAGCTACTTTGAATGGGGGAAAAAAACAGACAACTGTCAGCCAAGCACAATAATGTAAATATGTGGAAGAGGGTTTTTTTTTTGCCTCTTCGGTTGTGTCTTATTTGAATTAACATGACTGCCTAAATTACACTAAACTAAAATTAAATTGCAGCTCTGCTCAAGTCTGATTTGATCAAACTTGAGATTCAAAGTTTTTTTTTTCATTGACAGTAATGATGGAGCGCCATCTAGCGCCAACACACCTGCAACTACAGCACTTCAGAGGAGGAGTAGATTATCTGCCACACCAAACCTGGCCAGACCCAAAGTCCGCTCTGCTCCTCCATCATCTACTGGAAAGACTGCTTCCCTTCTATCAGGGACTAAGACATCATCTTCTGTCCAGGCAGCCTTTCCTCAGTCACCCGTCCCAGTTGCTATCAGCAGAGACGATTCTCAAAACTCCGATGCCACTGCAGAGGCCAACTGCCCTCCATCCTCACCATGTCTTCCATCCACCTCTGGCTGTCCAGAATCTCCATCAACTCCACCGTCTCAACAAGAGCCCCACCAAACCCCTAAAAAAATCCCAAATGAAGATTTTGGGCTCCAAGAAGGAACCACTCCAGCTGCATGCACACTCTCACCGTGTGTGAAGCTGTCACGTGTTGATGGACCAGACTCTCCCCTCAGGAACAAAATGTCCTCAGACAAGCAGCGGGTCTTGAGAGCCCTCAAATTGAAAGAACTGATGAAGCTGGAGAAGAGGAAAGAAAGAACGGTAAAGTCAATATTAAATCAATTAAATGCATTTAGCCCGAAGAAATGTCACATTTAAGCTTTTCACAACAGTTAGAAAACTAGAAATCTATCAAAAGCAATCAAAAACTCTGAAGAAAGTACAAATGAAAATATTTAATTATTATATGCAAACTTTTCTTTTTTGGCAACTCAAAGGAGAAGAAGAGTAGACGGCATAAGCAAGAGCACTGTATTGAGCTGGATCGTGACAAAATGTCCTTAGCTGACTTCATTTATTACCTGCCAGAGTCAAATCCTATGACGTAAGTTTGCCCGAAAATAATACATCATTTTGCTTTCTTTCTGCTTGTGTGCTATGTATAATCAGGGTAACTTGGATATTAAAATGCTGAAAGGTGCGGGTATGGTGGATATTCATATTATTGTATTTGTTTACATCTCAAATGCTTTCTGTGTCATTGGTTGTCTCTTCATTACAGGAACAGCTCCTCCCTTTCCACAGAGGAGACTCAAGCACAGCCTGTTGCTTCATCGTCTCCTGTGTAAGTGAAATGAAACCTGTTTTGTTGTTTCTAAATATTTTGTTTTAATTTGCATGTTGTCTTGATTAATGTCTTTCAAGATAATGTCAGTGTTTTGTGTCTCAGTGTGCTGAAAAATATAGCAGAAGCAGATGAGGACAATGATGATGATGATGATGCTGATGACAATATGCTGGTTCCAAAAGTCAGGGTGGCAGAGGATGGCTCACTGATTTTAGATGAAGAAAGGTATGGTGGTCTGAAAGAATCCATACATTCCAGTCCCTGATAAGGGAGCTGGTGACAATTTAATTTAGTGTCTTGTTACACATTACATGTACTTACTATAGTAATAACAGTAAATTATACATAACTACATGCAACTTAACCGTAACCTTAAACCAAGTCCTGATCCGTAAGTACAAGTTGTTAATTGATGTTACTTGGTCATAAAATGTACACTGTAATTAAGACACCTAAAATTAAAGTGTAACTACTAGAAATAATTTTGAATTGATTGTTGTTCGTTTGTTTGTTGAAAGTGAAATTGCTGACTTTCAATTCCCCTACTGCTTCTTCGATGTACAGTCCAGCCAATCCTTATTAATAGAGACGATTTTACTTTACATGTTCATGTTTAGCATGTCCATAACACGTGAAGTCCCCCATATGTTTCATCATATATAATGCATAATTGTTAGTAATTACAGATTGATTGTGTTCAGTTTGACAGTGCGTGTTCAGAGGACGTCTGATACAATTGTTGAGAATGCAAATCCGCTGTTTGAGCGAGGCTCTTCTACAACATACGCGAGTTTCAGGAAAAATAACTATGTGAAGAACTGGTCTGTCAGAGGTATGAATACTAAATGTTGCATCTGTTGGCTTATGATTGTGCAGGAACATGAGTTGCTGTTCGCTCATGTCAAGCACGAATGTAGGTTTAATGCTAAATTATCAATACTTTATTGGTGCATTCACTTATGTGAAGAAACCCTTTGAGAGCATTTTAAAATTGTAATGTGTGTTTCAGAGACAGATATGTTCTATTTGGCCATCAGTATGGTGGGAACAGATTTCTCCATGATGGCTCAGCTGTTGACTCACCGTAGCAGAACAGACATTAAGGTATCAGCCCTAATCACAACAAATATCCTCATCTCACGGACATTATCCTGTGTATAAATGTAATACCTTTGAGAATTTATCTGTTGGTGTGTTTTTGTCATTCTGTTTTTGATAGAATAAATTTAAGAAGGAGGAGAAAGCGAATGCATGGCGAGTGGATAATGCGTTCAGTGAGTATTTTGTACTTTTTACTTAAATGCATCTAGAAATCACATGATATCTGTCTATCTCTCTGTCTGTCTATACGCTGATTTCACACAGCCGCCATTTTGAAATGGCTCCGGTGGGAAGAAAATCAGAAGTGTCACCTTTAATCATAGGAGAGTCGCGAATGCGATGGCGTATTGTTGTTTTTAATGTAGAAATGAGTTATTCTAAAAATGTACATACATTTCTTTCATACTTTAGACTATATACAGTGAAATTAATTTATAGATAAAACCATTTTTTATATATAATTCAGAGCGTAAAATAAGAAGGAATGAACTATATACATATCCTATGTTGGATATTAACATCCAATAGTGTAAATTGCGGCAGCAGCTTCAGGTTGGCAGTCCATTGTCCATCTATACTTCTGGGGTTCTTCCCACCGGATCCGCGCTTTCAATTTCAAAATGGCGGCTGTGTGAAATCAGCATATAGTGTTGTTAAAAATCTACCTTGGTCTGACATTTAAATTATTTAGGAAACAAGCGGCCATTTGATAGCGAGTTTTTCAGTTTCCTGCTGAAGAGGATCTTGGCTAAAGACAAACAAAAAGGCAAATCCATTAAACTGGTTGTGAAATCCACTAAAGAAAAGAAAGGAAAAGGTATTGTGCCCAGGAGTGGTGGTTTCAGGTCTTTGGATTCCACTGTACCATACTCTATGTGTGTGTTTGTGTCAAAAGGTTTATTTTATTTACTCTAAACACCTTCTCTTTAACCAGGTGGTAAAAAAGCCAAAACGCTTGAGGTTGAAGACTCCAGCAATGATGATGATGAACTGTGCAGTGTGGACAGTGTCTGTTTTGATTTAGAAAAGGAAAACCAGGATGGCTGTAATGTGAATGAAGCTGATGTGCCGTCAAGCACAAGCAAGAAACGTAAACGCACCAAAAACACTAAGCCAAAAGTTTTGTCATGTGAGAAAACATGCAAGCCAAGGAAGAAAAACAAGACACCGAAAAAAGGTTTCACACTGTTTATTGCAAAAACGTTATATGTGATGGCACATAATTGCAATTCAGATTTGGCCATGCTGTCTGTCATTTGTAGTGCAGTATGCTCCAAGTCCCTTATGGTGTCTGAACATAATAATTCTCATTCTCTGTATAAATATACGACTTGATGACACTTCAATCTATATATAATTTCAGGCAAAGGCTCAGTTGAAGTGGATGGAAGCTCTGTGAACGCAGACAATGAAGATCAGTCATGTGTGCCTGTGCCAAAAAAGAAACGCAAACAATCAAAAAAGAGTGACCAGGAGCAGCAGGAAGTTAAAAGAGATGCCAAAGAAAAATGCCAGAAAAAGAGCAACAAAAAAAAACGTAAAGGTTTCTGTTTGTTACTTTGACTTTACTGAGCTTACGTTAAAGACCCCCTGAAATCAAAACGGCTTATAGTCCGTGTGTTAACTGTGAAGCCTTGTGGAAATATACTAAAAATATTCCTCATTGTCACTTGACCCTTCAGAAATCATTCTAATTTGCCGAGAAGAAACATTTTTCATTACTATCTATGTATAAATACAGTTCTACTGCTTCATATTTTTGTGGAAACCTAGATACTTTTTTTTTCTCCCCGAAATAATAGCATTTATTATAAATGGAAATTGTGTAGCATTTATAAATGTCTTTTGGGATCAATTTAATGCGTCCTTGCTGACAAAAAAATGTGAAGTCTTGTTCCAAGCTTGTGAACTGTAGTGTACATATTTAAAATACTCTTTGTAATCTTGACAGTACGGAATGAAGGACCTACTGATGGAGAAGGTTGCGCAGTGAATGAGGAGCACAATGAGGTGTCTCCCGTCCCAACCAAAAAACGCAAACGCTCCAAAGGATGTGTGAAGGAAGAGGAAGCCACAAAAGGAAAACGGATGACTAAAAAGAGCAAAACGTCAAAGAAAGGTGAAGGTTTTTTTTTTCTTTCCATACTTTGACTTTACCGAGCTTATGTTATAGACCCCCCAAAAGCAAAACGGCTTTTAGTCAGTGTGTTAACTGTGAAGCCTTGTGGAAATATACTAAAAATATTCTTCAGTGTCACTTGACCCTTCAGAAATCATTCTAATTTGCCGAGAACAAACTTTTTTTTTTTTTTTATCAATGTATGCAGTTGTACTGGTTGATATTTTTGTGAAAACCTTTTTTTCTCTTAACAGCTTTTATTCTAAATAGAAATTTTGTACCATTATAAATGTCTTTTATGATCAATTTAATGTGTCCCTGCTGATTTTTTTTTTTTTTAAATCTTATCCGAAACTTTTGAACTGTAGTGTACAGGCACGTGCACGCATAGACATCAAAGGGGGCTTTAAGCACCTCCCCTTTTTATTCCTGGAAAGAGTGCCCTTTTTTTCTGGGGTGCGTTTTTATTTTTGAAAAAATATATATATTCCTGTTTACTCACGGCTTCCCTGTCAAACAGATACATTTATTGAATTGTGTATCTAAATATCAGGTCAGGAGTTCTGAAGGGCTCCCTCTCTGAAGCACCGATCAGAGTACACGTGTCTAGTGAACTCGCGCTGCTCTGCTTGGATTTTGAGCCGACCGGATAAACAGTCCGTGAGGCGCCCTCGGTTCAAATGAGTTTTGTTCCGCTTTTGGCACTCAAACATTTATCAAACTCGATAAAAGTATTCAGTCGGATGACGATATTGACTCAAACTTTATATAATTTTATTGAGAAAAATTATATTGCGATAATGAATGAATGAGCATATCAATTTAAGATGTGGCTAAATGTAATTTATGACCTTGTATGGAAAATCCAGACGTTTTGTGACTTTTTATGGCCTAAAATTCTTCTAATTAAAGTTAATGACTTGTATACATCAAGAGTCTTTGATGATGATGATGATGATGATACAGTCCTCAAATGTGAAACTAAGTCCATGTCACCATCAGGTGTATCAAATATATACTTTATTTAAACTAGTAGCATAGAAAACATGCACATTGTGGCATGGTTTTCTTTGCTGCTCTATAAACCTAGTGAATACTAAGGAGACCATAGTTTTTACATTTAATTCATAAAAAGTCAGAGTTGTGTTATTATATATATATATATATATATATATATATATATATATACATTTTTGTTTAAAAAAAAAAAAATTGAGCCTCTGCCCCTCCAAATGTCTGTGCACGTCCCTGGTAGTGTACATATTTAAAATACTCTTTGTATTCTTGACAGTACCGAATGAAGAACCTACTGACGGAGAAGCTTATGCACTGAATGAGGAGCGCAATGAGGTGTCTCCCGTCCCAACTAAAAAACGCAAACGCTCCAAAGAGTGTGCAAAGGAAGAGGAAGCCACAAAAGGAAAACGGAAGACTAAAAAGAGCAAAACGTCAAAGGAAGGTTAAGGATTTTTTTCATGTTAATGTACAGTCTAAAAAATTACATTTGCCTGGAGAAATTAATCCGTTTTTTTTATGTTTTACACAGAGTGTACTAGATCTGAGCTGGGAGCTGATGGTACTGAAGTCTCGACAGCAGCCGCCGATGCTGAAGAGGATCAAGGGTATTCAAAATTATCTTCCCAAAATCTACAGTTGTCTAATTGCAAATCTTCATCACTTGTCTCATAATGTGTCAGGGAGAAGCTCAGTCTTGAGAGCACAACTCAGGAAGACATTTCACAAAGCTCTTCCAAACGCTCAAAGAGGCCTTTGCCCATTTTGGCAAAAAGAAAAGCCAAAAAAGGGTCTGTGCCAAAAGCAACCGTAGAGAGTAAAGACACGGTAGAAGAACCTCAAGATGAAAGCTGCAAAGAAGCTGAGAATGAGGTATGTTTTCGCATTTTCGAGTTTGATTCCACACCTGCTAGTCTCTTTTCACAAGAGGTATGTATTGGTTTGTTTACCACCTTAATGTTCACGTTTAGCGGCACACCATTTAAAAATGTAATTTTTCTGGCTTCCGCTGTCATCTGCTTTTTTTTGTTTGTTTTTTTTGTATCTTGTTATGTTGCTTGATATTGCAAACTAGTATTACTTTCCATATTATTTTAATGTATCGTCTAAATTAACTCACTGGTCTGTAGCACAAACAGTTTTACTGTTTACTGCACTATGTTATTCTTCTCATTATTTACCTGTAGCAGCTTATGAATCAGTCTTGGACATTCACAGAAAATAGCTTACTTCCACATTAAAAAATAAGGTGGATCGGACCACACGGTATTAAACGATGTTTCAAAGGGATAGTTCACTAAAAAATAAATAAATCTCATTCCAAAAACTGTATGACATTCTTTCTTCTGTAAAACCCCAAAGAACATATTTTGAATAATGTTGGAAACCAATTGGTTTGGATGACCATTGACGTCCATTGTATGGACAAAAAAACACAGATGTTGCTCAAAATATCTTATATCTCTTTATTTGTAAGAGAGAGAGAGAGAGTGTGTGTGTGTGTGTCCTAGCACTGGTGTTGCATGAGTAAGTGCACTCTCAGTGCTGAGTTGTTGAGTCAAGAAGGCCATCCGGCATAAAACTTGTGCCAAATTCAATGTGTGGATAATTCCGGGAACAGCCCAAAGCAGATGGATTTATTTACCACACAGAACAGTATGAAACTGCCGTTACATCTAGCAAACAAACCAGATTTTTGACGTTAAACAAATTCTGCTCTGCCACAAAAAGATCTAGTATAAAGGCAGACACCAGTTAAAGTTACTAACACAAGGGCATGCATTATTTTCTTTAGTGATCACTGGAATTGATCATTAATGTGGATAATCCTGAAACATTATTTGATTCTTATAGTTCAACATCATCGGTCTTGCTGAGAAACAGCCAGTAGTTGTTCTGGAGAGAACTCCTCCAAGGTAAATGGTTCATTCTTTCTGCACATCACTTGAGTTACACAGTGATCTCTTGAATTACCATTTATATGTATATAATCACTTCACAGGCTTAAAGATGCACACAGCTCACCTGAAAGCCAAGGGCAGCCACAGTCCTCTCAGAGCCCACTACGTTCTCCTGGACGCCAGGTAAGAGCGGGAAAGGTGAAGCGCAATCTGGCTGTTTCAGATGCTGGTAGTGAAGTCTCGACAGCAGGCCTCTGTGCTGAAGGGAGTCAAGGGTATGCAAAATTATTATATTTTGACAAGACTGGAGTTTGGGATTTTCTTTCAACCGTTTTCTAATTACAAATCTTCATCAATTACCTCATGTGTCAGGGAGAGACTCAGTCTAGAGATTTCATTAAGCGATCATCCGCTTCAGACAACTTCAGAAGGAGAAAGGATGGAGCAGTGTCAGACTGGGTCAGATACATCACCAGAAGACATGAGCAGCACTGCCATGCCTTTTCAAGTAGTCATCCAAGACTTTAAAGACATGGAGGAGGTAAAACAAATAACTTGTGTTGCACTTCCATTAATTGCATTGATTATCAGTAATACATTCCTACAGTAATTAATGAAAAATGAGAGGCTATATACTTGTGTAGCATGATGTGATTCTGCTTGGCTTGATATTCTTGTTATACAGTATTTTGATGTTGAATATTAATCTACTTTTTTTTTAAATATCCAAATATCACATTATGTTCAGGGTTTGAACATAACGTGACCAACAAAAAGACTTAAACTATTAAACTACTCCTTTAATTTTATATAATACACCTTTGTACTGAAGACAAATTACTTTTTCTTTTTTAGTGTTGCAATTTGCATCATTCAGAGCTTTTGGCTTCATCTGAAGAAAATGGTAAGTTTACTTTTGATATTCATGTTTTTGAAATAAGACCAATTAAACAACCTGAGCACTTACTGTGTGTCTCGTAGAAATTAGTACTTGTTTGTCTTACTTATTACCATTTATGTATTGTTTTTTTTTTTTTTTTCATATATTTTAAAATATAATGTATTCCTGTGATGGCAAAGCTCTTCAGTGTCACATGATCCTTCACAAATCATTTTGATATGCTGATTAATATCAGTGTTAAAAACAGGGGGAAACCGGATTCTTTGATTAAGCCTTTATTTTTTTTTTTCAGCCTTTATTATTATTATTATTATTATTATTTTTAATCTTAGTGATTCCAGACTTTTGAACTGTAGTGTATTTGAATGCATATAGATGATATTACCAAGTCTGTTTTTGATGTCTTTATCTAATACCAAACATGACCTTTTTTTGTTGGAGTGCAACACATAACAGTTGAAATGGTTGGAACGCTTCTTTTTGATATCTCCTCAAGGTCAGACATTACCGAAAAGTCCAGTTGTGTCTCATGAAGTAGTGGAGCGCTACCTAGGGATCCGAGCACAAACCGCTGCAGAGGAATCAACGGCCGCCAGAGGAGATCATGTCTGTACTTGAGGAGTTTGTTTTGTGTGTTGTAGAGTAAACCAGCAGTAATCAGCTAAGAGTGACTGTTGATGTGGATTGCAGGTGGGAGAGCATACAGATGGTCTTGAGGAACAGGGCTCTAAAATCGTTACTCTAAAAGAGAGCATCTCTCAAGAACCAAAAATGAAAGAAGCTGACACTGCCTCCATTTCTTCCCAACAAAACCTATCCGAAAAAAGGAGGTTTATTAAGCCAACACCCTGTCTAAGCCGAGCAGCCAAGACTTTCCACAGACCTCTCAATGTGCAAACAGAGTTTAGAGAAAGTGAGCTTCAGATGTATATAATCCATGAGCTAAGAAAACCATCCAGTTGCCTGCCCCGGTAGCACTGTATTTGGTTTTCTGTACTGAACGTGTGTATTGTGTTCTTTTCCAAATCCAGATACAGCTTCTTTTAACCGTGACTCCACACAGCTGCAGTGTAGCAGTCCTGAGGAAGTCCAAGTGAAGATCGCCGTGAATGAATGCCTTTCTGAGGAAGACGGCACATGTAGCGTTACTCCAGAAGAAAATGGCCCTTGGGATGTTCCGGTGAGGAAATCTGTCTCAGGAGTGAGTGACTTTAGTGTGTGAAGCCAAACACACAATATCTGACTTGCTGTGAATTTTATCTTCTTGAATGTTCAGGATAATGCCAGAACTACAGCAGATGATCTGCCGTCAGCTGGTGAGATTAAAAACATTATTGCCCTTTGTTATATTCAGTTGTTTCATTGCTGTACTGTATATAATCTTTCCTTCTTTCCTTCTTTCCTTCTTTCTTTCTTTTCTCTGTATCGCTTCTTTAAATAAGCAACTTCTCCAAGACCTAGTAAGACTGAGGACCATGAAGATTCATCTTTCCCTGAGAAGCCTCAGGTTCCTGACACCATGCCATCAGACAAAGGTGCAACATTTAACATCAAACCCCTAAATTAAGTGCTTAACTTGCAGCAACGAAAAATAAAAAGTACAAACGAATGACTTTTACAGATGTGAATGAAAGAGGAACAAAGCTTGAAAAGTCTGGATCTCAGATTTCTGAGAATAAAGTTCAAATTCAAACTGATTCGGAGGCTAGTGAGTCTGCTGTCACAGACACCATGATTGAGGAACCTCAGACAGAGGGGAAGAGGATTGTTCCAGTCAGGTGCGCACTGGCAATTAAACAAATGAATGATTCCAATTGAGTTTGTCCAGAGTGTCTTTAAAAATGTCTTGGCTTTGTGGTGTCATCTGTACAGCTTGTTCTCTGATGGTTCCTCAGTTTGTACTCAAGATAGTTTCGCTCCAGAGAAACACATTCAGCTTACTAAGCACACATCAAACCTAGAATTGGCATCTCGGGTCATGATCAACCCTCAACAGACCTCCGAGCCTAATGAAGGTGAGACTTATGTTGTTCAGATTGAGAATGTTGCTGTGAAGTTGAGTGTTATTGTAAATGATTGAGACATGACATCATTTAGATCCTGCTGAGAAGCCAGAACATCAGAGCTCAGTTAAAGTCCAGCACTGTGATTTGGATTATGACATAAAGAGAGTCTCCAGAGAGGATACGCTTGTGGTATCTCAGGTGGATTTGCAGGAACCTAAACGGGATGAGGATCTAAGGTCTCCTGTCTTGGTACTTGGCTCAATACAAACTGCAGCCCCAGATGTTTCTGTGGACAGCACTGGTAAAGGAAACGAAGGACAAAATGGTAGGTTTTTAAATTTTAACAGTATTTTTTCTGTAAAGAATTAATATATTTATTAGATTTGATTTAATTAAGGGACTGTGTAGATGCTCATTCTTTACAACAATATTTAGTCCACATATTAAAACTCCATGTTAAAACCTAAAACTGACTAAGAAGGAACCCGCCTTCATGGTTACACACAAATAATTGAGTAATTTCATCATTCGTTTCTCATAGATCCAGTTCTCAGCGATGCTTCATCAGCACCATTTGAGGCAGACAGTCCGGTTTCATCTTTTTATGATCCTCCACATGATTATACAAGCAACATGTGTGATATGGACACGTATGTAGTGTGTTTGTAGCTTTTATGTAGAATTTATATAATATTATTCAATTAATGATAATACGCTGTTTAAGGATGCTGTTTAGTGAGTCTGCAGCTGAAAACATTCAAATACCAGACGAGCAGGATTCAGAAAAGCAAGATGGCACAGAAGAGCAATCAGAAGCTCATGAGGTAATGCGTCCTGACAAACATTACACCTTGTGTATTCTGCGTTCACTGATTGAAATGAACACCTTTTAACTAATTAATGTTTTCTGGCAGGATTGCATTGCCTCTCTCGATGGAAATGCAACATCTGAAATCCTAGGTTCAGCTGGAGTGGAAACGGGTGCAACTGGTAAAGTTGAAATGAATACATGAGCAAGAAATATTAGCAGACTGTAAATACACTGTATAATATAAAGATTACTAAAATATGTTCTATGAAGTGATTACAATTTAAAGTGTGTGTTAAATTTTAATTAATTAAAATTAAGAAATTTATTTAAAAAAAATGGCAATTATTAAAACATTTTCATAAGAAATAAAAAACATTAAAAGATAAGTAAAAATAAAAAAGGATTAAACCACTTAAAATGAAATAAGATTCTACGTTAAAATTAAAATGAGGTCACTTGATCAGTTTAATAAATCCTTGCTGAATGATAATAATATTAACTTATTAAACAAAATGTATCTCACTTACCACAAACTTTTGATCGGTGTTATATGCTATAGTCTTATTGTATAAGTGCTTATCTTATTGTCTTTCTTTCCTTGTCACAGATAACCCATCAGAGGAGCCCACCTTTATTTTGACTCTATATGAGATTCCAACCTCTCAGCTGTTCCATGAGGCTGACTGTGGCCAGCAGGATATGCCCACTTATGAACTGCAGCCAGCACAAGTCCAGACATCCTCACTGATAACAGGCAGTTCACAGTCTCTTTCCTGCACATTAGAGGCTTCCAGGTGCATTTCCCTTCCAGTCCAGATTTAATTCAACTCGGTAAAGAAATCCTCGATCATCCATTCGTTTCATCCTTGATGACCTTGTTTTGTAGTGCATCTCTGCATATGGAGTCGGAAGAGACCAATACACCATGTAAAAGTGTTTCTCACAAGGTGCTGGATGATTCCCTGGTTCCTCTTTCAAAGGATGCTGCAGAAGATGCAAGTACACAATTGATATCCTCACAGGAAAACCGTTGTGATGATGTGAACTTTTTAAATTGTCCACCTGAGATGCTCTCCTGTAATTCTGCCATGGTATGATGCAGTAGTCCCTTTTGTTACCATAATTTTTGTTGAGTGATTTTATATTTTGTTGCAGTTTTGGAAATTAAAGTGTTCTCCCTTTTGGTAAAAGCCAACAGATCTACCAAAGTTGGATGAGATCCTGACAGAATCTCCAGAAACTAAAGCTGCCACTCAGAGAAGTAGTAAGACATTTTAATTTTTTTCAACTTTTATTTCTGTCAGTTACTATTATTTAAAATGGTATATTCAAGTAGACAAGATGGTGATGTCCTCTCTGATCTCTCCATCAAGGCAAGATAAAGGTCAAGCCGAAACTAAAGCCATGTGTGGTTGGGCCTTCAAACAATGGCCAGTTTGATTGTGCACCCAGTCAGACACTAACGTCTCATGCTATTGCACAAGCTGAGAGTGAGTCCAACCAGAAAACATCTGCACAGGAAACAGTTAGTCCTAAAATCCACTTAAGCCATGAAGACCGTGAGTGGGGAGCCAATCCTGGACATGACGGTGTGAAATCAACTGCCATTGTGACAGGCTCTGAAGATATGAGAGATGAGAGTCAGGTAAAGTGGGAAAGTCGTCTCAGAACAGGTCCCCAGATGGATGAGGATTCTGTTGTTGACTCCCCAGTGAGTCACTGGCTGTTCTCTTTTGAAGCAAGACCACTCATTCTGTGTTTTGCTGTATTATAGTATCTAAATCAGTCGTTCATATAAGTGTTTCCAGTAACACTTTACAATAAGGTTCATTAGTTAACAATAGCTAATGTATTAAATAACATGAACTAACCATGAGCAATACATTTGTAACAGTGTTTGTTAATCTTTGTTGATGTTAGTTAATAAAAAATAAAACTGTTCACAGCACATGTTAGATTAATTAAAGATTAATAAATGCTGGATAAGCACTGTTCATCATTAGTTCATGCTAACTAATGTAGTTAACTAATGTTAACTAATGAACCTTTTTGTAAAGTGTTACCGTGTTTCCTTACAGGTGCACAGTGTGTTGGCTGATACCTCCTCAGGAAAAATGGAAAATGTTTTTAATAAGGAGATCCCTCATGACAGTGAGCTCCAAAAACCTGAGGACTTGTCTGTATGCCTTCCAGAGAGTGCGAGATCACTGTCTCAAGTAAATGTCGAAGTAAGTGTTTTTATTTTTATTTAAACAAGTTTCAATCCTTTTTCTCCAGGAGCCTATCACTATTAGCAAACAACAACGGTCCAATAAATTCCTAATTTGTTTCATGTCAATTTTGAAAGTTTAAAGGTAATTAGAGCACATCACATTAGTTGATTAGTACTTCTGTCCACAGAAGGAAAAAATGGCAGATAATTCTAAAAAGCCAGATACTTGCAGAGAGGCATCAAGTGTGACACCATCAGTTTCTCAAGGGAGGACTGTGCCTTTACAAAGAAGAGGTAAGGATATTAATTTCCCTTCATAGTTCCTTTTTTAACCTTTAATAAGTTAAAAATGATACATAAATAAATAAAAAACATTTACTGTTACTGAATATTATGCATTTCGCTTGTCTTATAATTACATTTATGCATTTCATTTACATTTTATATGTATCTTGAATGTTATATTTTTAAGGCAGGATCCAAGTGAAGCCTAAAATCCCCAAAACAACAATATCTACTAAAGATGATTTCTCAAGACGGGAGCAAACTGATATTGGATCTAATGAACCAGCCACAACTCGAATCATTTTTCCAGCAACTTTGATTAAAGAAGAATGTGTTAAAGTGGAACTGGGCGAGAGATCTGAGCAAGATGTTATTTCTGATATTCCAAAGGAGTCGGACACAGAAAACATTGAAGAAGTCACAAAGTCAAAGCAGCAGACCACATTCACAACTGCGGAAACATCACCATGGTAACACATGTCTATCTTTATAAATGTCCTTGAATCTGTGAAGTCCTTAACTAATTTTTTTACACTCTGTTATCATAGCACTGTATCATCACCTGAGGAATTGAAAATAGAGGGTGGGCACAAGGACGTGTCCCATGTGGTGTTGTCCGATACATTGGTGCCGGTTTCCATGGAGAGTGGAAGTCCTGTCCAAAGCAGTCTCCAGATGGGTGAAGAGAGCCAGCAGGTCCTCGCTGCTGAGGAAGACCAGGAGACACATTTACATGAGGGTGTTTCACACATGCTGCTGACTGATATATTCATACCCGTCTGTGAGGACATGCAAGATGATCTGAGCAAGCAATGGATGAAAACTGGAAAGACAAGCCCTCATGAAGCAGAAAGATCTCAGGTTGGTTATGTGAATTAAATTGATTTATTGCTATTGGTTAATACTGTGTTTTTACTTGTACATTCTTGTTTCCAACTACTTTACATTTACAAAGATTAACTTAGATTAAATATATTTTTAAATGAAATCCTTATACCCCTGATTCATTTATGAGATGTCTTCTATTTGAAATCTACACAACAGATGAGGGATCCAGATTCTGCAGACCTGTTAGGTGCAGTGTCGCAATCATCAAATGTTGGACCATCAATATCACCCAGGAGTCACCCACCACCCAAAGGTGGTGAAAAACTATTTAATCAATGTATCTCAACATACTGCTTAGTTTCTGTAACAATGTGAGGAATTTTCTGCTTTTAAGGCAAGTTGTTGGCAAAGATGACATTTCCCAAAAGGACAGCTGAAGATTCCCCTAAGAGGGGCGAGCAATCAAAAACCGTGCCTCCGCCAACCTTAATGCCAAAGCAAGAGGTCGATGCCACTCTAAATTCCCCAGAAACTAAAAGCAGTTCAGAACCCAAAATGGAGTCAACACAATGTAGTTTTGAGACTTTTACATGGTATGAGTGACTGTATTCTTTGATATATGTACAGAAATGTTTAATGAAAATGAAACCACTGATGGTTTGGTCATTCTGTCATAGTTCTGACTTGCCGCCTGTTGGCTCAGAGGACCATGAGACGACGTGCAGGGGGTTTTCTCATATGTTGCTCTCTGATATTTCGGTACCTGTATTGGATGAGTCTGCAGAGCACAGCCTTCACAAAGAGGCCTTATCAGTTGGTCTTCAAGAAGATTCAGTCAAAGTATGTTGTTGTGTTTTGACAGGTCTTTGGTCGCTGATAAAAAAAAAAAATAATAATTATTAATTATTTACTGAGCATCTATCTAACTTCCACAGGTTGAGAAGTCAGCATATATTGAGAGACCAGCAAATACTGAAACGGAGGAGACAACAGCAAGTCAGTCTGTGTCAGTGGAATGGAAAACACCTTCTTGTAGGAGAAGTACTAATGGATATTTGAGTAAAAATAATAATATAATGCAAAATGTATTTATATGTAATGAGAATCATATCTTACTCCCCTAAAATAGTGGTTAAAGTTAAAAATGTAATAAATAATTAACATTTTTGCTTTTTCAATGGGAGTGATGATGAATCCAGAAAAACAAAAAACTCAATCTTGATTTTTTTTTTCTTATTTTTTTTAAGTTAATGGTGTATCAAAATGTGATCAGATGATTTTGATGTATTTGTTTCTAATGCCTTCTAATCTACCTTGTATCTATTCCTCAAGGCACACTTCGCCCAAAGCCTAAATTGTCAAAAAAGAGAGATGATCCTTTAGAAACCGACCTCTGTCAGCCGGGCTCTACACAGACCTCTTCAGCTACTCCTCAGCAGTCCCTGGACCCTCAAGCTGAGGAATGGTCCCTCAAAAGCAATATGCTGCCAATGGACTCGGATGAGATAGAGAACTGGTGTGAAGGAGTTTCACACATGTTGCTGTCAGATGCATTTGCGCCTGTTTCTGAAGAGATTGGACAGAACAGCACAGATCTAAAAGTACATGAGGATGAGGAACACGCTCTTAGTGTGCCAAACAGTGAGGAGACACCTCCTGAGATTTCAGATGAAGTATGCTATAGTATTTTAAGAAGCATTTAACTGCAGTTCATTGTAATTGTACAATTGTATGGGTTAAAACTCATGAAAATAGCCCAGATCACGTTTTACCAAAAAATTCTAAAGATATATATATATATATATATATATATATATATATATATATAATTTTTTTATTTTTATTTATTTTTATTTATTTTATTTTTTTTTGCATGAAAAGTATACTCTTATGATTTTTTTGCAATGATATTTTTAGATTCAATATAAAAAATTATTTACATTATGTATTTTATGGTACTGCCTTTATTCAAAATGTATTTTTTAAAATAATTTACTAAAAATTTGTCAATTCAAAAATCTTATATTTGGAGAATAAAATTAACTTAATCATGGGCTTAAAATGCTGAGGGTCCTAAGAGTAGAATTACATTTTCTTCATGCAAAATAATTACTTCTTTTTGGAGTGAACAGGCTGTTTTAAAATACACCTATTTGAACTACACTGTAGATGACAATGCAAAAATCTGTTTTATAGGTACATCAATTAGACACTATTTCTGACTTGCCAAAGATTGACGAATCAAATGAGAGTCTGCCAGCATCAAAAGCTAAAAAATCACCAGCGAGAAGTCAGTCATTCTTCATCATACACCATATTATTAGTCTTTGTCCTCCTTATACTTTGTACTACTAATTATCCTTTCTAATTAATCAATTTCTCTCACTATTCATTAATCTCTCTCAAACAGGTACATTTCAGATGACACTAAGATCGCCTGAAAGACGCCTTAAAGATCAAGCCAATGTGCTAAAGACAGCCGAAGCTGCCCCAACCACACCTCAGCGAGCTCAGACATCAAAAGTGAAGGAATCCATGAGTACTCCAACAAAGCAACACACAGGAGAGATCTCAGGTGTGTGTAGGGTAGAGCTAAAGAAGTTATCTGTAGAGGAAATATTCCCTCTCCAAAGTGTCCTGCAACCAAAGCATCACAGCACACCCGTCACTGTGAAATCCATTTTTAGAGGGTAAGAATTATTTCCATTTCATGACTCGTAGTATCTTTTATAATCCTTTTCAAATTGTTAAAATTACAATAGTGCTGTTCACAGTAAAAACAACTACTCAATTAATAGCTAAATGGCAAAAATATGTTTGTACTCTTAGGAATGAGATGCCCAAGGTATCTCTGGCTTTGCGTGGAAGCAGAAGCCCTGGTTTAGAAATGCATGCTGATGAGGAGCCACCCGTGCCTCCAGGATACTCACCAAAGATTGTCCTTCATCGTGTACCAATAACCGATGCAAACACGCTTGCCTCGTCCCCAGCTAGAGTGTCCACCACAGCCTCCCAACCACCGGCAGATCATCAGGTACATGCTCTGATTTATGTTAAAATCATTGTATTAAGCCTGTAGTTGTTGTCATTAATATTACATTCTCTATCGTTCAGTTCTCTCAAAACAGCCCTCCAATCTCCAATTTGGATGCTGATAAGGATCCTGTTCAAGTGTCCCAGTTCTTCCTGGATGACATCTTCACTGAAGTCGTGGATCCGGACTGATTCTTGTTTGAGACGTTTTTCACTGCTGCTATTCCTGTTCCTTGCACTGGAGTGAACATGTACAATGCTGTCACACTGCTAATTGCAGACCTATTAGAGAATTGGCAGTAATTTTAATAAAATTGTTTAACTTTCATGAAGGAAAATACATACGTAGATTATAAAAAATTGTTATGCCATAAGTTTTTTTTTTTTTTTTTTTTTTTTTTTGTGATGCAGGTTTAGTCACAGCTCTGTTATTTATTTGTATTTATTGAATGCTGAACATTGAACCACTTTTTTTTTTTTATCAATGACATTAGTTAACAATGACATGTCAGTTTTACTGACTGCAGATGAGTTTAAAGATCTTGCTTTGGTCAATGCAAATCTATTTGTTTTTATTGTAACTGTGTTACTTTTGTTTTCGTTCTGGGAGCAAAACCACTTCTGTGAATTGTAATACAATTCTCCAGTGAGAATTTATTTTTCAAGAATGTGTAATTAAATATTATCAATTGTCAATTATATTGGCAATTGGTGGCACAGTCTGGAATGGATATTACATCAGTTAAGTATTTATAAATAAGTTAATAAATTGATATTCACTTCAAATTTAAAATGCCTTTTCTTACTCTGGAAATACAGTGCACTTGAATAGGACAAATGAGGGAGCAGGGAAGTTTAGAACAGATTTTATACTTTTGGTTTATATATTTTTTTTCCAACATTTTTACAGACACGCAAATGAAGAAGTTGCTTAAAAAAGGAGTGCAATTTTTTAGCTCATGATGAATATGAGTTTTGTAATAAATATTTAGTTAAAATCATAATAGTTATTGCTTGATTAAATTCTTAATATAAAATAAATGTCAAAATGGAAATGCAGATCCTAAATATTATATTGTAAACAAGAATGTTTGCCAGTGAAAATCTGCACAGATTACTCTTTGTGTATTTAAAGGTGCTATATGTATTTTTAAGTGGCCTCTATCGGTGATGTTTCAGATTGCAACCAATTTTTACAAGAGCCCTCTTGCGCGTGCTCGAGCTCTCATGGTACACTCCCATAGACAGTAAATGTATTATCTTTAAAGTATTAAAGGCCATGTGTTGAGTAATTACCACAGAAGATAAAAATAATTAAATGTAGTAAGGCATATTTTCTAAATTGTAGAAAAGAAAAAGAAAGTTATATTTGGCCATTGCAATCAATTAAGGTGCAGATAATGGCTTCATTTCACATCCTTATTACTTCATGCGATAAATCATTTTAAGTTTAACTAGCTAAACCAAAGTATGCCATCTGCAAAAGCATCATGAATAAGGTATATGTTTTCAGTTGAATGCTCTTCAGCTGTGTAGTGAGAGAGAGAGCGTAGTGCTCACGCTGTTCTGATTGGATGTGATGATGTTGCTTTCAGTGTGGTGTCTTTCAAGAGACCTGAATGAATTGACAGCTACCAAGCCAGACAGAAAGTGGCTAAAGTACATCTCTTGGTTTACTGAAGAGCATTTTTCACATTGGAATCTGTTCGTGAACCCATTTTTTCTTATCCACGTGAACCATTGCCAGAGTACAAAAGGGGTTCAGTGAAACAATTTATGCTATAACAAGCTAATGTCTCTATCACTAGATTCTTTAAGCTTCATGTGTTCGCTGTATCCTACCTCAGCGTTCCAACACAGTGCTTTGTGTGTCACTCTAGTGTTCTTCTGTAAATGATGACGGTGACCTTTGTTATCAGCCAATTATCCCTTTGTCTTTTGCCTGCCATCTTGTAGCGCTTGGTCTGACAGGAGAGTGTGGCCCTAAACCATGTAGTACAGCATTGTTATTCTACGAACTTGACACTCAACCAGGACTAACTAGAAATAAACTGGCCTGGAAAAGTCTTACTATTGTAAATTCACCTTTTAAGATTGTAATATCAGTTTTTATTTTATTTTACATGTCCTGGATCCAGAGCTAAAACACAAAACTGCACTGATATGGAAATTGTACCCAATCCTGATAACTGATTGTTATTTAAATTTTGGGACTGATAGCCATCTATTGTCCAATATATATTTTTCTGATGTGATAATTGCTCCATATTTCTGAATGCTTCAAATGACACCAAATTTACTGTACACATTTTAGTAGCTTTTCATTTTAACTGGCCAGTGGATGCACACTGTTATGAATGCACACACTTAGTAATGACTTTGTTCTCGAAATGTTTCGACTTTAATCTCGAAATGCTAGATTATTATTATTTATTTATTTATTTTTTTACGTTGCGGTTTAGACCTTCCGTAGATTTCGCTTGTCATTGAGCGGAGTGTTCCTGTTTTCAACCAGTTTACTTTTCATTGGCTGTGCAAAGGGGAGGGTAGCAAAGCTTTCAGCCAGCGTTAACCGTTTGCTGTCAGAGGACGTTGCGTGCTTGGTTCGTCCTTAGACCGGTCAGTTAGAGGATGAATCATGATTCTGCACTATGCTAGACCGGTGGTTTCAGTCATTCGGAGCAGGAGTGTAAATGTTGCCATTTCCAGGCTATATCATGCGGATAAAGTTGCAACAGTGGGCTCGCAGCCCGACTCACAGTCTACGGTTTTTCAGGTAGGCCAAATATGAAGCCTCGCACTCAAGTTGCTGCATCCAGCCGGCAATGGGGATTCATCTGCGGCGGTAGTTGTGCATGTCCTTGTGCACTTATTCAAAGAGACCATGACATAGTTCGTATAATACATATACAATAGACGAGTAAACTTTTATATGCACCTTGCACTAACCGGTCAGATATTTTACTATATACTTCTGTAACTAAGTTGTATGTTTCTACTTGTGATACTACAGTATGCTAAAATATTGTTATTTTGTTACCACTGTGGACTGTCTGATGATGATGATGATGATGATGAGTCTGGTGACACTGTATTAAACCATAAGATTTCAGTCACGTTCTGATTATTTAACGTTATATAAAACGTTTTATATGGTAATTTACCAACTAGAAATCTTTCACATTGTAGGAAAATTATGAGCGAATGCAAGCACTGGTGAAGGAGTTGAAGGACAGAGCAGAGAGGATCAAACTTGGTGAGCAAGTTGAAACTTTGATATCACTAAACACAGCCTATGAAGCCATTACATAGGGGTAGTGGCTTTAGCACATTTCTTTGCACCAATGTTTACAAAACATTGCCATTTTCAAAGGTGGAGGAGAAAAAGCGAGAAACCTACATACATCCAGAGGAAAGCTCCTGCCTCGGGAACGCATCGACAGACTGTTGGATCCTGGGTAAAAACAAACTCACTGTCATAAAAAACTTCTAAAATGTCATCATGTTGTCCATTCAATGTTGTCAATGTCAATGTACAATGTTGTCCATTCAGACTATTTTCATGTTAAAGTTTTTTTTTTTTTTTCTGAATGCAGATCTCCCTTTCTTGAGTTTTCCCAGTTTGCTGGTTATCAGTTGTATGGTAAGGAGGAAGTTCCTGCAGGAGGCATAATCACTGGTATTGGGCGAGTCTCAGGGTGAGGAACATGCAATTAAATCAACAGCCCCTTTCACACATTAATGTCCAGATTTACTTTTCTGGCGAATACACAAATGTGCTGTTCAGTGTTCACACAAATGACTTTGTTCCATTTTTTACTAGTAGATACCATTTACACATCAGCACCAAAATATCGGTTGACTCTAAACTGTAATGTTTTCTTTATCCGCCTGGATGAGAAGTGTTTTAGTTCACTTTCTGTCCAATTTGACATCTTACTTCTGAGTGATATGCATAGGGGGATGATCACATAGAATGTTTTTGCTCTTAAAAACACATGCCGTTTAATAATGTAGTTACTAGGCTATAGTGGACTACAGCAGCTGCAGAGCCACATGAATTGAAAAGAATGCAGGGTCTCAAGTGTTCTACGTAGCGCAGTGGTCAGATGTCCATCTAGCACGTTTGCATGGATGTGCTCATACTGGTAATCCTATTCTTTGTTCAAACACACCATTATACTGGGAATTTACTGGTCATGTTACAGCTTCTCATAGCAGAAAAACAAACCCTAACAGATTTATTTGTATTTTTGAAAAGGTCCTGTTCACACACATGATCTGTAAATGGTAATTTACCAGTAAAGACTGCATGTGGGAAAGGGGCTAGTATTGATAATGCTGTGCAATAGTTATTGGTTCATACATCATGCCTATGTACCTCACAGGGTGGAGTGTATTGTCGTTGCGAATGATGCTACTGTCAAAGGTGGAACCTATTATCCGGTTACTGTGAAGAAGCACCTGCGTGCCCAAGAGATCGCACAGCAAAACCATCTACCATGCATATACCTGGGTGAGTTCTTTCAGAGGTTTCAAATTCTGTACAGAACAACATTTTTCTATGAATGCTTTCATTGTTTTATGTTAGGTGTTGAGATGTACTCTGATCTGTTTTTCTATAGTGGATTCTGGAGGAGCCAATTTACCCAGACAGGCCGATGTGTTCCCAGACAGAGATCACTTTGGACGCATCTTCTTCAACCAGGCCCGCCTTTCCTCAGAGGGAACTGCACAGGTCTTTTTTTTTACGTGAAATTTCTATTTACATATTAGCCTGTGGTAGTCAACCCTCAGTAACTATTGTTTTTATTGAAGAACATACAGGATCAGAATCTTGGATCTTCAAGAATCAGTAGTTTAATTTAAAGGGTTAGTTCACCCAAAAATGAAAATTCTGTCAGTATTTACTCACCCTCATGTTTATTTGTTCTGCTGAACACAAAGGAAGATATTTGGAAGAAAGTTTTAATCAAACAGATCTCAATCCCCATTGACTACCATAGTATACTATATCTGTTATTTTTATTTACTAAATGTGATGTACAGTATGTATCAAATTTCCTCTCCCTTCACATTGGTCACAATCATTTTAATTTATTCTTTACCTTTGCAGTTTATATAAACCACACATCTCACATATTTCAACAGTGTATCCTATCTTTATTATTATTTTATGAAAGTCTTAAATAACCAAACATCAACAACAAAAGGGCAGATCCTTTTAGCGCTGCTGATGACACTGTGGAGTGACGCTCGAGTGATCAAGTATTCCAATGTATATAAAAAAGCTTTTATTTGATTCCTCCGTCCTCGTTTCCTTCTCTCACGTCTCAGCTCCACCCCCTATTGGACGCGATAGAAGGAAGCAAGGAAAGGAAACGAGGATGCACAAATAAGAAATAAGAAGCACCCAAAGTGATGCTTTTGAGACAAAAAGGGCAGAGAACCATTGATGCTTAAACGCCATTTGTGTATATGTATAACCATAAACGAATATAAAATGTTAACTGTCATGACATATGGCAGTTTACTGTTTTTATACGTCTATCTCAATGGGAGCCAATGCATACATTTTACTTGTTATATTTCAGATTGCTGTTGTGATGGGCTCCTGTACTGCAGGTGGCGCCTATGTGCCTGCTATGGCTGATGAGAGCATCATAGTGCGCAAACAAGGGACCATTTTTCTGGGTGGACCACCACTGGTATGTGTTAATGTCCCAAGGAGTGCAATATGACTGGCTGCTGCTAATGTTTAGCAATGGTAAAAGTTCATCTGTGTATTTAACAGGTAAAAGCTGCTACAGGTGAAGAGGTGTCTGCTGAAGACCTGGGAGGCGCAGACCTTCACTGCAGGTTAGAGAAACACTTGTATTTTCACACAAACACTTCTTTTGAGCTGGATGAGGCTATGGGTTTTTCAACATTTGTGTCTTTTCAGAAAGTCAGGTGTAACTGATCACTATGCCCTGGATGATAATCATGCCCTTCATCTTGCTCGAAAAGCTATACGGAGCTTGAACTACAAGAAGAATCTTGATGTGAGGACACAACTGCACTCCTGATAGATGTTAAATCTGTCAGACTTTTTTTATGACTTGATGCTGATCTTGAACTTGCCTACTGTTCATAAGGTTACTGTGGAACCTCCTGAGGCTCCTCTGTTTCCTGCCGATGAGCTATATGGTATTGTGGGGGACAACCTCAAACGCAACTTTGATATTCGAGAGGTATTGGTCACTGTATCACTGGAATACAAACCTTTTAAAATGTTGCCTCAATAGATAAAACTAAAAGGCAATTATGAATTTCAGGTTATCGCCCGTATTGTTGATGGCAGTAAATTTGATGAATTCAAGGCATTCTATGGAGACACACTCGTCACAGGTAGATGTTTTTTTTTTTTTTCATTAATCATCTTTGTTTTTGAATTTCGGCATTGATTTCTTCCTTTGTACTGGATGTCTTCATTTGCTTTTTAGGTTTTGCACGGATATTTGGCTACCCTGTGGGAATTATTGGCAATAATGGTGTGCTGTTCTCAGAATCTGCAAAAAAGGTGTGCATCTCTTGATCATTGTTCTGACTTTCCATGCATAAAGTGAATAATGTCTTCTGCACTGTAGACTCTGTGCACGATCACTTCCGCATTTAACCTCAGTGACCAACGCAACTTCTGGTGCAGCGCACTGTGTATGGAAATTAAGAAATTAAAATTCATAATTTACTAAGCCTCTTGAATCATGCATGATTTTTCTGTGGAAGCACAAGTAGCAGCATTTTCCAGGTTGCTCTATTTTCCATATAATGAAAGTGGATAGACTTTATATTTTGTAATGATTACTAGGAATTTCTGGATTTTTTTTAATTGTTTTTTTTTTTTATATAAATAGGCTACTCATTTCATTGAGCTTTGCTGTCAAAGAAACATTCCACTCCTCTTTCTTCAAAATATTACAGGTGAGTTGTATGCATACTTCATCTGAATATAAATTTAATGTTTCTAAAACAGTGCTCTGAGTCAGCATAGAAACATATATTAGGGATGCAATGAAATGCAAATTCTTAAATTTTCAATTTTCACTATTGCATAAATTAAATAGTCAAAATGTGATTTGTACTATTTTGTCCTGCTTTTCAAAGAAAAATAAATTATAAAACTACTATTTAACATGTTAAATTGTAAATTTAACATGTAAACATTTATTTAACATATTTTTTGCTTGATTAGTGATTGTTAACATTGACAGACAGGTTTTTAAGGCTGCTGTCACTTTAAGACCGAATGCTTGGATCTATCTGTAATACAGTATACAGATACACATCCCTTTTTCACAGAAAGGTTAAGCCATAACCGACTGTATTTCCGCAAGATACTACACAATAGGCATTTTGACAACTGTGTCTGTATTTGACCATTCAGGCGTAAAGAAAAGTAAATTCGGAACCGTGGGCTGTCTTGGTGCGTGATACCACAATAAAATATTTTAACAACTTACTGTGCATGATAACTTGATAAACTCTTTTTGAAGATCCTTGTTAAATATACACGCGTTTCTTTGACATCTTCGTATCTGACTTGATCTCCGCGTTGACTTGAATTAAACCTGAAGTGCTGTAAGTTTTAGCAGATGCATGACAATTCAACAGAACAGTGTCTGCAAACTGCATTTTTTGCTTCTTTCTCGGACACTTTAAAATGCTTCCACACTGACGACATGTTTGCTGCATTCATAAAGCGTGTGTGCCTCAGGCTCCCACTCTATGCTGGTTGCCATTTGATCACGTCATAAAAAATGCCATTTTTTTCGTTTAAATTGATTAGGCCTTCTCACTTATTCGGTCGAACATCGAATGTGCTTTTTTTTTTTTTTTTTTGCTATTTTCGGCCGAATAATTTCGGTTGGCAAACATTCGGTGCATCCCTAAACATATGTATGCCTAGTGAAATTGTTACTGCCATACACTCAGGATGTGTTCTGTTACTCTTTTTATCAGGCTTCATGGTTGGCAGGGAGTATGAAGCTGGAGGTATTGCTAAAGATGGAGCTAAAATGGTCACCGCTGTAGCCTGTGCCAATGTGCCTAAGATTACCGTCATCATCGGAGGATCGTATGGTGCGGGAAACTATGGCATGTGTGGCAGAGCTTATAGGTAAGTGTTATTAATAGTGAACATTATTTCCTACACTTCCCTGCTCAAAGGTACAGCACTAAAAAAATGTTCAAGGCATCCATTTGACATCAGAATGTCTCATTTATTAAATTTGACCCTATGTGTACCTCGCAGCCCCAGGTTCTTGTACTTGTGGCCTAATTCCCGCATCTCTGTGATGGGAGGAGAGCAGGCAGCCACTGTGCTGGCAACCATAACTAAGGATCAAAGAGCCAGGGAAGGAAAAGAGGTAAGAAACAAACAGCAAATTTATTTCATTTCATATTTGATCAATCTTGATACATCTAGGACTTGTTTTCTTTCTTTTACGGTTTATTTTTTCTGAGAGTTCTAAAAAAAGAAAAGCATATAGATTATGTATCTCAAGTAAATAATCTTTGTTAATGTTCCAGTTTACCCCAGAGCAGGAAGCTGCAATGAAAGAGCCAATTATCAAACGCTTTGAGGAGGAGGGAAACCCATATTATTCCAGTGCCAGGTAACTAAATAGACATGTAGATATGCATGTTTGAATTGCTGGGGATGCTAACTTGTCATTTTTCAGTGAAATTCTGCATTTTGAATCCAAAATAGGTTATTTGTGTGATTCGTATGGATCCGATGTACTCACAATGTAAATAAGAGATTCATTTTACAGTGTGCAGTGTAGGGCTGCACAAATTAATCGCAATGAAGATAAAGATATAAAATAAGATTCTGAAAGGAAACTTTACTTTACTAAAAAGTTGCCAAATGGTTCAATTGACAAGAAAGTGATCTGTGTGTTTTGTCGTTGTGAACTGAGCTATCATTATCGCAGCACGCCCAGTCTGAAATACCACTTGATTGCCAAGCACACACACACAGATGATGCGATATTCCCCACCCCCTTGTCAATATCAGGACCTCGTCAGTATTTCTTTCACCCTTTTATTGATGGACAGTGTTACATTGAGAGATTATTTGCTCCAAGTGAGAATGTTAGTGTGAAATTGAACACAGTATATGCCAATGTTGTTTTCAATAAAAAAACATTTGCACAAAGCAAGCCGATCCACTTTTCCATGTTGATAAGAGCATTAAAATGAGAAAAAAATAATGTGAGGAAAAAGAAAACAAGAGACATTAAGAATAGATAAAAACGTGCGATTAATCACGAGTTAACTACGACATCACTGCGATTAATCGTGATTAAATATTTTAATCGTTTGACAGCACTACTAAATATCCATCTAAAAATCTCTATGAACGAGAGCATATTAAATCATGGATAAATCAACTCATTAAGTTTGTAAGTCTCCTCAGCTTTCATTGTCAATTGCGCTCATTCCTGTTTTAAATAGTTTTTTTAAGCAACTTATTGCATCATTGTTGAATAAAAGTATCTATTTCTTTCAAAAACTAAAACAAAAAAAATCTTAACTGGTCCCAAAATTGTAATGGTAGAGTGTGTATTGTGTGTATCCCTGTGTAATGTCTATTTTTAATTTTTGTTGCACTTCCTCTATGTATCTAGATTGTGGGATGATGGAATCATTGACCCTGCTGACACTCGCCTTGTCCTGGGCTTGAGTCTGAGTGCTGCTCTCAACGCCCCCACACAGAAAACCCGATTTGGTGTCTTCAGAATGTAAATCTGTTTTTGTAAAGATCAGACATTTAGAATTAAATCTATTTCCTCTGTCTTTTGGGCAGTACACACTAACTTTATAAACTTGTTTTGTCTTTGTATGTTTGACAACAGTAAAATCTGTAAAGCCAACCAATGAGTATTGTCTTGTATGCTCTAAGATTTTCTTGTTGTTTTGTACTCTTGATATTTAGAACAGTACATCACATAATACTGGCTGGTCTAAGAGCAGAAAAGTAAGCATATGTTCTGTATGGCTTTTCTAAGGTAGAGGCATTAATGCCTGGTTCAGATTCTGCGATTTTTGACTCCTAAAATCTTGTCTTTGACAAGAAACATGTCAGACGCCGTCTCATGCACACACACACACACATGCATGCATACATAAACTCACACACGATCATACTCTTTTCACACATTCGCGCTCATACACTCTCGCTCAAGCTGTCTTTCCACCGTACACAACATTCACATAAGATTGTCGCATTTCACCCCCTAGTGTCAGTCGCAAGGAACTTTGAAATTGGTTTTGAAGCAACCGTTCCCTTCGGCTATTCACCAAAATTAATGAATGTAATGCATGCAAGAATATATCCACGCAAAACAAATGAATATATCTAAAATAAAAAACATGATAGATTTTATAGAGCTAATCAATATAAATATTGATTTAATAATTATAAAATATTTTTTTCTGCCATAATTATTAATAAACGACATTTCACGGGAATAGCGTTTTCAGAATAACATTAAAAAGTTGAAATATTGTATTAGTTTTAGCCTTGTGCTCACAGTTTTGATTACAAAACTGTGTATTTTACATCGCACCTGGCCGGCCGGCACATACGCAGAAGTTCAGATATTTCAATGGATCCAAAGCTCAAATCAGAAACGAATCCCTGCGACACCATACGTCAAACGGATCGTGCCAAAATCGTGTAATCTGAACTAAGCATAAGTGTGCTTGTATTGGGTTTTCTTTTAACAATTATCTGGTTCTAGAAGTACATAGTTCCATATATCTTTAATGGGCCGTTAACAATACGTTTTAACTAAAAACTGAACTTTTTATGCGTTGTGTTTGAAAATAATACCGTTACTGTCTGTGAAAACAGTGATGTGTAGTTTTTCTTTACAAAGTGACCTTGCCATCTACTGGCCTGGCATGCATGATACAGTTTTTTTAGTTTTTGCAGCTCCATGTGAACAGGATCATGTTGACAACGCGAAAAATGCGAAGGAAAAACTTTTCTGTCTTTAGTACATAATTGTTGTGTAAATTTACCCTGAGTATACTGTTGATAGTTTGAAGTCAAATGTATTGTTTATGTATAACAAAACTATTACAAAATCAATCATAGATTTTTTTTTAATTAAGTTGACAAATTGTTCTCTCTGGAAATCAAAATCACCATACAGCAGTGTGAACATCACTTTCAGGGTAGTTTTAGTATTATTTATATGCTAGTAAAGTTTTTATTAATATTTTGATTAAATTTTTAATTTGGGTTTTAGTAAATGGGTGTGGTGATGGTGCAGTGGATAAGACACATGCCTTTGGTGTGAGAGTTGGTTCGCAGTTCGAATCCACTGCGAGACACCAATATGTTCCTGAGCAAGAGACTTAACCCCTAGTTGCTCCAGAGGCGTGCAACCTCTGTCATACTCATACATAGCAATTGTAAATCGTTTTGGATCAAAGCGTCAGCTAAATATTAAATAAATGTAAATCGTGTATGTGCTTTTCTCTTTTTGTTTAAATATTTCTACATATTTTTTTATTTTAGTAATTTAGTTCTTCAAATTATTTCAGCTAGTTGCTAAAGCAACATTTCAAGTTGTTTGTTTTAATGCACTATATTTTATTTCAATTAACAAAAACGAGTTTTAATAGTTTGTTAACAGCACTGTAGGCGACTTATTAAAAAACAGAAATTATGAAAAGATTTATTTGTTGAAAAAAATATACAGTGATACAGTTTCATTAATTTTAAAATAAACATGTAAGTTACTTCATGTGAGTTTACAAAATGACATAACAGATGAATCATCTCATGATTGTACACTAACTTTGTGTACAGAGACAAAATGGTCATACCCAGACAATATGAGGAACCGCAAATGTGTTGTATTTGATACATTTACCTGGAGAGAAAAGAAAGGGGGGAAAATGGTGAGATTTTGGTTGAGTGTCTTACTGTATTTGGAGATTCAAATCTTTGAGATGTAACTCACAGAAATATCATTAGCCTGTAGGCTGCTCTCAGTTTGCTCAAACTCTGAAACAAACAATATTTGCGTGAACGAAACTCAAAAGATTCGAGGAAGGGAAATAAATAACATGTTTTTCAGACCTACCTGTGTCTGCAACCGCTTCAAATTTATCAGTGTCCTCTGATGTGCTCTTTTCTATTCTCAGCCTTTTAACTGAAATTAAATATAAATGTGAAGACATTACAATTTGCTATCATAACCATATTAAAGACAGATAGCATAAGGATATATAGGATAAAGATGCGTGCGTTTATAAGATGTAACGTTATTTACTGTTGTAGCTGTGAATGGAGACAGTAAAAATGTTCATGTTATCTGGAAAGCGGATGATAAACTCTTGTGGAAACATGCCAGTTGAAATCCAGAACGTCTCTGTTTTTCTATAGAAATAAATAAAATGCATCGGTTACATCAGAATATAATTTATTAAGTGTTGCTGTAGCATTAGCTAAGTAAAAATGAGCTGGCTTTTCTTCCATCAATCTACATACCCGTCGATAATGTTCTCCGGTGGATGATTCTCATCGCCTGATACAGCCAGCACAACCTGGGCTCCGTATGAACTTAAAGCAGCATCGAGCATTGTGAACTTTAGATTATTTATATGTAAGTTAACGTTAGATATATATGGAAATATGTTCGAAGCAAGAGTTTTCACTGTGAGGCAATCCGAGTTGCCAAGCAACATGTAACGTTAAGCCCGATGTGTCTCTTGACTCATTTCCGCTAGTCGGTTCATATGAACAGTTTGTTCTAAAGAACCGGTTCAAATAGATTTTTTTTCATGACGTATTTTTTTACTTAGTGTTCAACGTATTGTCTGTGACAGAAGCAATGCATCCTGTATCCCAGTTCGTTTCAGCCGTGATTCGGATCATAAACAAGTAATTTAGAAAAGCATTTAACAAGTTTTTTTTTTTTTTTTTTTGCACAGAACACACCAGCCAAGTCCGCGGTTCACTCCAGCTGCTCGGTTCATTATCGAACGTCGTTCACGTGTCGCCTGATTTGAGCGTCATCAGCTGCTGCATACATCAGTGGCGCACGTTGCACTTGTGAAATATTTTGCTATACGGTTTTATATTCAAAATACTCATGGCAAATGGTGCGGAAGATGTCATATTTTGTCGTGGGACGGGTAATGTGAGTATTGAACCATTTTAAAAGAGAATTTACGATGTAAGATTTAGCTACACTTGCATGTATTTTAGATTCGTATTACATTAAGTTACCCGATTATTTTGCTCGTTAGTTATCATTTTGTTGGCTGCACATTTAGTTCAATAGTTCTAGTTTGCGGTTTTTGCTTTCTTTGACTTTGTGGTTTTGGTCTTACAATCAGTTGGCGTAACACTGTCCAACAAAGATGTAGCATAAAGTCACAGAAGAGTTCAGTGGTTCATGATATCTTCTCTTTTTTTCAGAGTGATGATTCTGACATCTGGGATGATACAGCTTTGATTAAAGCTTATGATAAAGCGGTTGCGTCGTTCAAGGTAATGACGATTAAAAGAGGTGCGACTGTTCAGCTGATACAATGCCGTTTACTTTGCTTCTTCAGTAACCCTGCTGTTGTTTTGCTTCCGTTCCTCCTCAACTTACCAGAATGCACTGAAAGGAGAGGACAGTGTGACACCGCACAAAAAAGATAACCCTGGAAAGAAGCGTAAAAACAACAAAAAGAGCAAAAGCAGAAAAAGATATAACGCAGCACCTGATAAAGAGGTAATCTTAATCTCAGTACTTGAGTTGATTTGGAGTTCCAAATACAGGTGAACTGAAATGTGTTGTACAGTGGCAGGTTGGGGACTCCTGTTATTCTTTCTGGTCTGAAGATGGGAACTTGTACTCTGCTACGATTTCCTCAATCGATCAGGAGAAGGGCACCTGTGTGGTCCTCTATACTGATTATGGTAATGAGGAGGAGCAGAACCTCAGTGACCTTCTGACAGAGGCATCAGATTTGGATGAAGACACTCAGAAAACTGCAGATGGATCATGTGGAGTATGTCATTGCTATCAGTTAGACACTGTAGTTGTTTAAGAGATTGATTCAGATGTCTAATCTTATATTACTTGCCTTAATGCAGGTCAAGGAGGATGAGTCTTCGACAGAGGAAAGTGATCGATCTTTTACCCCACAGCAGTCCGCTCATGGGAAGCACAAATCTAAAGGCAGATCTCCCATGGGACCTCCATCGTGGATTCCTGGTTTCCCTCCTGTACCCCCACCTGGACTTAACTTCCAAAAGGTGAATATTAAAAATAGGTCTGTCGTGATTATTGATTAGTTAAGTCACATTTATTTATATAGTGCTTTGTACAATACAGATTGTTTCTTAGCAACTTTACAGTGATAAACAGGAAAAGAATTATTCAATGATCCAAACAGAATCCAGTTCGGCTGTATAGTAGCTCTAAGAAGACAATAGTAAAAAGTTATTATTCATTTGAAATCAGATCAGTGTTGATTCAGTTTGGCTTAATAACTGTGGAAAGTTAATCAATTATGGAAATGGTTCAATTCATCAATAAAGCAGGATAAAGTTGTCTGGATAAAGACATAAAGGATAAAGTTGTCATCATCCAGCTCAGCTGTAATTCAATAGTGTCAATGCATTGTGCAGTGCAGAAATGGAGAAAAAAAATAAAATAACTTTGCGGTCAAATATCTGCTATAACCACGCTATGTAAGATTGTCAGGTCGAGTTTCTGTAGTTCTAATGAGACATAAGAAAACTACATTTGACTTGCTTTATGTCAAGCGTTACAATAGTCATTATTTGGTTTTTCTTCGTTTTTGTCGCAATACATCATATTTTCAAGAAATATTGCAGCATACTCTACCTTGTCTGTGGACATCGTTCATTCCAAAACCGGTGCTGGATAAACCACGTGCGTGTGTGTGCGACAGTAGGCTGCGGTAGGCTAAATTATTTACAACAGCGGTAATGGACAATTCCGCTTCTAGCCTGTAGGGCGACCACAGAGGAAAAGTTACTTGGTGTTGCTTTGAAGAAATGCAAATGTGTGATATGTGTGTCTATTTCTGGTGTGGTAGGGAGAAGCAGCCGATCACAATCTGGAGTAAAAAAATAAATCATAAAAAAAAAAAATTTTCTTCCTTCATGCAAAATGAAGGGTTGTGTGTTTAATCAGACTGCATTATGTTGTATTATCATATTAAAGTAAATCAAATGGGCCTATTTTATTATACATTTTATTAGCATTTTTATAGAATTCATGAATTGAAAAACGATATAATGTATTAGGCTTAAATGTAATTATTTTTATTAAACATCTGTGACAGCCATTTTTCCTTGTTATAATATTATACCTTGTTATATTCAGCATTGCAAAGGGCTTCTCTCATCTTGTTAGATAAGTAGCCTTTTCACAAAAGATTAAAGATCCATTCACACCAAGAACTATAGCTATAAAAGAACTATATTAGCATCCACACCAAGTATGCACCGCAGTTGTTGTCTGCCACTTTAAATACTCAAGCTCTTTAAAGTCAGGGTTGATTATGTTTGGCTGTCAATGTTTTTGTCATTCATGAGCTGGAAAAAAAACATTCTGAAACTAAAGTGATCCCAACATATCACAATCCTCTGTGTTGTGTTATTGTTGCAGTGCAGACTTCCCTATGCGCGTCTATAATTCAAATGATTATTGAAACTTTATAGTTGGCCTTAAAACTCAGTTCTTTCTCTAGACCGATGGCAGACGATCAGAAGGTCCTGGACATTTCTTCCCTGGATGGCCTCCCATGATTCCACCCGGTCCCCCGGTAAGAGACCTTTCAGATCTATTAACTTTTTCTTTCATGAAAAGTGATCGAGTAAAAATATTGTCAGCTGTTCACGGGGCAAATTATTGATTTATTTTTTATTGTTGGTCCAGATGATCCCACCACCTCCACCTATGAGTCCAGATTCTCCAGAGGACGACGAGGCTTTGGGCAGTATGCTTATTTCCTGGTACATGAGCGGCTATCACACAGGATACTATTTGGTACAGTTATTATTCTTGCTGTTCACAAACATCTTTTTGTGCACCTGGTTGTTTTCTTATTATTATCAGAAAAATCTCTCTCTCAAAAACTCTTTTGTCTCTTACTAAGGGTTTAAAACAAGGTCGAGAGAGAGCAACATCTAAGAAGTCACATCGGAAATGAAGAGACAGCGGTTAGTTATTATTATTTTTTTAGCCCTATAATTTCACAGATTGTTGCTAAAATGTTACCTTACCTTTTACCTACCTTATGGTGGAATTGGGTTGGGTAAACATTCTACGTTGTATAAATAATAAACCCAATATGTTAACATTTTAGTGTTTCTGTATTTTATGACTTTTGCTAAATATTTTTTTTTTCACCATATAGAGCGAAATATGAACATGCTGCAGCAGATTTAATTCACTTTTCATTTTTTGTATTGTTTGTAAATAAATGAATGAATTAAAGTAATTGTGTTCTTTTCCAAAGTGTGTTTGGTAAAATTATATTTTCAAAAATGAAAATTATATAATTTACTAACTTTCTTGTAGTTCCTAACCTGGATGAATTTATTTATTATTATTATTATTATTATTATTTTATTATTATTATTATTATACAAAAAAGTTATTTTCATTTTTGGGTGAACCATCCCTTTATTTTTTTTTTATTATTTTTTTGCTGAATGTGATTTATGTGGCTTATGTCACCTCCAATTTGTAAAATCATTTAATTACATAATTCTTAAATTCAAGGTCATAAAAGCGTATCTTTATTATTTCAACCAGCCCATTTAAATTGTAAATGTGACAACCTGTAATGTTAAATGTGGTTGTTCTCAGCCATGGGGCTTTAGATGACTTAAAATGATTTAAAATTAAACGAAAACAACACAAGCATTATATTGAATGCAATTAAAAATCAAGTTATTTATTAAATTAATGTTAAAAAAAAAAACTATTCTTTGAGGAACCAGGCTTCCCACTGTATAAATGAGGTTGCATAAATTTAAAGTGTAAATTACATGTTAACCACCACAACCATTTAATGTTTAAATGAAAGTGATCAATGTGTATATATTTAAAAGTGTCGATCTTAAAATTTAGTAAAATAACATTTACTGGGGTTTCTTTCAAGGTAGCATGTTTTTTACAGGAACTGGGTGATGTCATAAGAGGGAGCGCGGGCGGTAATGCACTCACTCTGTGTTCTGGTTGAGGGAGAATAAAACGATCCGCAAACTAGAAATATCTATGAAAAACTAATACATTTTTATTCATCTGTTGCAGAAAAGCAACAAGAACAACTAAAACAAAATAGAAATGATTCACAGGCCAGAGTTTCTATTTGTAACATGTTTGCAGCATTGAGTGACACAGCCAATCACAGACATATGTGTTAATTTCTAGGAACGCAATGACCAGAAGCATTTATGATAGACTTCCCACACCGCTCTTTTGTAGCGGTGCCCCGTCCGAGGAAGAACGACTTCAAGCCGAATCTGCCCGAGCATGTACGTCTCACCCATAGACAGTAAGGGCTCACTATACCGGCACGCAGTTTGCATGTCTAAATTGCAATGTTCATAGCAAAGTTTTTTTTTTTTTTTTTTTTTTTGTTAAGGTTGTTGTAGGGAAGTGGGTTTTGGTGCTCCACTCCCTGGACGTGGTATGGTCCAAGATAAAAATGATGGCCCAACTCGCAAATGCACTATGGTGCAAAATGATGGTTTATTTACATTGAGGTGAAACTTATTTACAAGTGAGTCCCGAACTTGTACAAAAATAATCAACTATTCCACCGGCAAAAATAGGATAACTTAAACAAAAATAAAAATAAACAAAATCAGGTAAACACGTATCCACAAAACACGGTTTCACACATCACTTCATTATTTGAT